GGAGGAGGTGAGGAGTTGGGGGGAGAAGAGGGGGCCTGCTCGGGGGAGGGGAGCCAGCGTCTGGGCTTCGGTCTTTGAATCGCGAGGCCCCGCCAGGAGTATGTGTGCGTTCGCTGCGTTCCGGCGGCGTTGGGGATCGAGTCCCCCGACTGTCGGTCGGTGGGGTCGGTCTGGGAGGCTCCGGCCCTGTCCTGCTCTCCAGCGGATCCCGCTCGGACCCACCCCGACTCGTACCCGCTCCCCCCACCCCACGGTTCCTCGGGGCTTCGAGGTGAGCCCGAAGGAGACCAGGCGCCGGCCCGGGGGCCTGCGAATAATTTGACCTTCGGAGTGGAAATGGGGGTCAGGGCTTCCAACCAGGTCACCTGGGACCAGGCAGGGCTGGAGTGGGGTGGGGGTGGGGGAGGAAGTTCAGGGGTGTGGCCGGAGTCCTGCAGTGTGAAGGACTGAAGCATCATTCAGGGGAGCCCCTGCCTCCCAGAGTTGGGGGGCGGGGTAGTCCCCTGGACGTGATGGGCAGGACCCTCCTGGCTGGCTGGAGGGATGCCCTCAACCCTCAGAGGTCCCTGCCCTGAGCTGTGATGTTTCTCTGCAGCCTTGCCACTGGGACACCCCAGTTCCTGAAAGTTCCCCATATCCTGTCCTCCTCCATCTAAACTGTGGGCTGGTTCTTCCAGGCCTCCCTTCCTAACCTCCTTCTCCAATCTCCTCCGGTTCCCTAGAGCAGGGCATGGGGAGGGAGGTTGGCTCTTGGAGCAAAGAGCAGGCTTCCCTGACTGTCCATACCCCATCACCCGGGGGTATCCTATGGGACAGAGAGGCACAGTGGCAAGCTGCAGGGCCACACCGATATTTCTTGATGTCTAGGATGAGGGAGACAGGGACAAGGGGTACCTGGAGGAGCGCAGGGTTCCTCGGGATCAGCTGTGAAGGGCCCTTCTACCCTCGGGATGCGCTGCTTCAGCCAGCAGTTCCCGGCCTGCTCTCTAGACTGCAGGATGGCCCTGGGAACACAGCACATGGCTGTGTGCCTGTGCAGGGCCAGAGCACCTGCGTGTGTCCTTGTAACACCTGCAGCGAAGTGTGAGCGAGTGAGGTGCTGGAGGGTGTGCCCAGGTATGCATGTGTGAGAGCTGGGGACAGCTGGGTGTCCAGGGCCTGACCTGGGACCCTTCCAGGGACCCCCCCCCCCCCATCCAGGAGCTCCCTGAGATATTCACTGCACTCCCGCTTGGCCCAGAAGAATGCCTAGCACAGCTCTGGTTCCTGGCAGCCACCTCCTCCACCCACCACCACACACACACCCACAGGTGCGGTGACTGTGTGGGATGTTTGAAGTCAGGCGCATCAGGTTCAGGGGCTGGAGGGTTTTGGGGTATGAGGCCCAAGCCACAGTCTGGCCTGGGTGTCCTGGGAGCTGGTAACCAGTAACCAGGATGTAACCAGGATCCCCCTGGGGACCAGTAACCAGGATGTAACCAGGATTCCCCTGGGGAGTGAGCTGCTGCTGGCTTCTAACCGGATGCTCTGATTATTCCAGATTATTCCATCTGGTTGCCTGGCCCCCAGGGCTGGGAGAGCTGTGTTCAGGGCCCCTCTGCCTCCTGCCGCCCCCTCTTCCTACGCCAAGCACTCTTCCTTGAGGCTGGCTGTCATTGCCCTGCCTGAGCTTCCTGGTTCTGGATTCCACGAACCCTAGGGGACCAGGGTGGACCCAGCCGGCCACACATCGTCACCCTCAGCAAGAAGTCAGACTGCATAGAGGGACCCCTGGCCCCAAACAATCCAACCACCCTGGAAACCCTGTTCCTTCTGCTCACCAACCCTCATTTCTGGAGTGCCTGGTTCGTGGGGTTGGGGTGGGGGCAGGAGATACAGAAAAGGGACAGGGGAGAGGCTCAGATACTCTGGACTTGAGAGCCAGAAGGCTGTGGCCTTGTGACTCAGCTCTGGTGTGGGGTCATGGCTCCCCTTGAGAATCTAATAGAAGTTATGGAACTGTCATCAGAAAAGCACGCACACACACAATTTCAAAGTATTCATGGAACCCCTGTCCCACCCCCCCATGATTTCCTGGAGGCCCTGAGGTTTTTACTAGTAAGGAAACTGAGGCCCAGAAAGAGTGTGGTTCATCCACGTCCACAGTAGTTGGTGGTAAGGCCTGAGAGTGTGGGCTATCAGAGGCCCAGAGTGTCTGGCTGTGGCCCCTCATTACACACACAGACACACACAGACACACGTGGATCCTCCTTATCACACACACACACACACACACATACCAGGAAGGGCACTGTTTCCAGGGAGTGTGGGCTATCGGAGGCCCAGGGTGTCTGGCTGTGGCCCTTCATTACACACACACACACACACACACACACACACACCCCCCAGGAAGGGCACTGTTTCCAGGGAGAACTGGCATTGGAGGGGAACATGCCATGTGTAGGCAGGTCCAATCTGTTTCTGGGCAGCTGGTGCTCTGGGGCACAGGGCTGAGATAAAGCCTGCCTGGCCTCCCAGGCCTTGCTCTCACTGCCTCAGGCTGCCTTGGACCCTTGAGGCCAGGCTGCAGCAGCCGCCGCTGTGGGGGGCGGGCCGGAGAGCCCTGGCCTGGCCTCTCTGCATCCCTGCCGCAGCACGGCCTCCACAGAGCCTCAGAGCCCCCTGACAGGTGACCAGGGGTCGCCATGCTGCTCCCTGCCCTCCTCTTCGGGGTGGCATGGGCACTGGCTGATGGGTAAGGAGCCCACCTCGGGGCCATCTCCTCCTGGCCTGAGACTTCTGGGGCAGCCAGACTCCCCTGTCCCTCCTCGTCCCCCTTAGCCCGCTTGAGTCAGCCTCCTCTTTGGTAAACTCTCCCCTGGAGTGGGGTCGTGGGACAGGGCCTCCCGGGCAAAGGGGGACGGTGGCTGCAGCTGTGGGTCCCCATCCGTGGGCAGGCGGTGGTGTGAGCGGACAGAGACCGTCCTGGTGGAGGAGGAAGTCACCCCCCGTCAGGAGGACCTGGTGCCCTGTGCCAGCCTCCAGCATTACCAGCGCCGGGGCTGGCAGCTGGACCTGACCTGGAGTGGCCGTGCAGGGCTCTGTGCCATCTATAAGTGAGTGCCGAGGAGCCCGCTGGGCTGGCGAGAGCAGTGGGGTGACCTCCTGAGAGTGGGGGAGGACTGGGCGGTGACCTGGAGATGCAGGTGTTTGGCAAACAGGTCCAGGTGGACTCAAGGGGGGCCGAGTGGGGGAACGGGATGGTGGATGAGTGGGCATGTCTGTGGGCAGCGCCGGGGAGGGTCAAGATGCCTGCTGCCTCTGCCTACCCCTTAGTCTGCCTTCCTGAGATCATTCTCGCTTTGGAAATTGACACCAAGAATGGAAAATTACACAATAAAGCCTCTTAGAGAGAAGGTGACTGGAGGCGGTGTCCCAGGCCTTTCCCAGGGATGGGGCTGAACACTGCCATCTTGTCCCCTCCCCCCTGCTCCATGGACCCAGGCCCCCAGAGACCCGGCCTGCTGCCTGGAACCGGACAGTGAGGGCCTGCTGCCCAGGCTGGGGGGGCATCCACTGCACCCTAGGTAAGCACCTGGGATCAGCCCAGATCCGGGGTTTCCCGGAGGCAGCAGGCTGTCTGGGGAGGGAAGCCGGGTCCAGGCGGAACGTCTTGGTCCGCCCCGTTCTCTCTTTCCGTCCACCGCAGCCCTTGCAGAGGCCATCCCCGAGGGCCGCTGCTTTGCCACCTTAATGTGCAACCTGGAGGCAGGCTCAGTGAACGTGTCTGCAGCAAGCCTGGAGGAGTGCTGTGCCCGGCCTTGGGGACACAGCTGGCGAGATGGCCTCTCCCAGACCTGCCACCGCTGCGCCAACCACAGACGACCCGGTGGGTCCCAGGAGTTCCAGCCTGTGGTAAAGGCACAGCCCTGGCCGGCACCCCCTCCCCAACAGGCACCCCACTTAGAATTCTTGAGCTCTGGGTCCCTCTGTGGAACCCACTGCCCTCTTGGTTCAGACAAGCCGTCTCCCACCTCTGGTCACCATTGGTAACCGTGCACTGACCACTTCTGCCCCCGCTTCCCGTGCTCAGAGGTCACCGTTGGTGTATCTCCCCCAGGCAGCACGCCCTCCCCAGCCATCCTGCAGCCCCTAGCGGGGGCCGTGGCCCAACTCTGGAGCCAGCGCCAGCGTCCCTTGGCCACCTGTGCCACCTGGTCCGGCTTCCACTATCGCACCTTCGACGGACGCCACTTCCACTTCCTGGGCCGCTGCACCTACCTGCTGGCGGGCGCGGCTGATGCAACCTGGGCCGTCCACCTCCAGCCCCGGGGGCACTGTCCCCAGCCTGGGCACTGTCAGCTGGTGAGGAGGGAGATGGGTCCGGACACAGAGAGGGAGCTGGACACAGGAGGAGGAGGGCCACTGACCCCCTCTTCCTCCATGTGTCGCCCCACCCCCAGGCCCGAGTAATGATGGGACCAGAGGAGGTGCTGATCCGGGGTGAAAACGTCTCTGTGAACGGGCAGTTGGTACCCGAGGGGGCGTCTCGGCTGCTCCCTGGTAAGGTGGCTGTGGGCACCAGGAGGTGGCCCAGGGCCCCATTCACTTCTCTGGGACAGTCCGTCCATCCGCAGGGCACGGGTCAGAGGGCAGCTGAGGTTGGGCAGCTGGGTGGGCCCCCAGAGCCTCCCGACACCCCCCATGGCTGTTGGGAGTCAGCATTTGGAGATGAGGGAGCCCACTGAGATGCCAGGAGGTCGTGGTCCTCATCCCCTGCCCCTGCAACCTGCCCCCTCACAGGGTGACCTGGGGAAAGTCCCGCTACTCACCCCCCCCACCCCTGCCCCACACTCCCCTGCACCCAGGCCTCAGAGGCGGGGCTTTTGTGCTGCTAGATGAGTCAGGCTCCTCCCAGAATTCTGTCCTGCCTGGAGTCTGAGGAGTGAGGTAGGGGTGTGTGTGTGTGTGTGTGTTGTAGTTTACCTGTAGTTTGCTCTCAAGAGCGCATCTATAGCGTTCATGAACTTCTCAAAAGAGGTCTGTGATGCGAAACCAGTGGATTCTGCTTTAAAGGGTATAGGGTGCAGAACTCTCTAGAATCGTGAGAAGCCCTTTTTTCCTTCCCAGGGCAGTTTGACCACCTGTGTGATGCTGGGAGGGGTGGGGCTGTGACTCCCCGCTTCTCATGCCCAGGGCTCAGCCTGCAGTGGCAAGGGGACTGGCTGGTGCTGTCAGGGGGCCTGGGGGTCATTGTGCGGCTGGACCGGTCCAGTTCTGTCTCCATTTCTGTGGACCACGAGCTCCAGGGACAGACTCAAGGCCTCTGTGGTGTTTACAATGGTCGGCCTGAGGGTGAGTGGGGGTGAAGTTTGGTTGCTACTGTGGGAAGGAAGGGGAGACAGGAGTCCCCAGACATAGCCACTTTGCCTCAACCTCCCCCAGATGACTTCCTAGGGCCAAGCAGGGGACTGGCTGCGTTAGCTGCCACCTTTGGGAATTCCTGGAGACTCCCAGACTCAGAGGTGAGACTGCAGTGCTGGGTTCCCTCGCTTTCTGCCTGCTCACCAACCTGGTCACCAACAAACTGGTTCACTAGCTAGTTATCTAACCTCCTGCCTGTGGGTTCACAGTAATCCTGGCCCCCACATCCACTTGGGCTTGCCACTCTGCTGCCCTCCACAGTCCCAGGATGTCTGGGCTGGTGGCCATGAGGGCGGGGTCTTGAACCAGCTGCCAGGGCAGTGGCCATTTTCCTGATGTCCTGGTTAATATCCATCATCCTGGCTCCTTGGCCTGACTCCAATTGTCCTCAGCCTGGGTGTCTGGATGCAGTGGAGGCAACTCAAGGCTGTGAGGACCCCCTGAGGGGCAGAGAGACGGGCATTGAGGCTGGCCAGCTTCGGGCTGAGGCCCAGGATGTGTGCCACCAGCTGCTGGAAGGCCCATTTAGGGAATGCCACACCCAGGTATGGATGGGGGTGGAGGTAGCATCAGGCATTAGAGAAGTGGGGGGTGCTAGGGAGGTGCCAAACTGGGCCCCTGGTCCTGCCCTCAAATTGCTTTGGGGCATGGGTCAGGGCACCCCGCCCCACCCGCCTTGATTTGATATCTGGGAGATGAGCTGGCCCCAATATGTTATGTCTAAGGTCCCTTGCAGGGTTCTCCTGTTTGATGGTAAAACAAGGGCCGTTTGAGAAGCAAGAGGAGGGAGGCGCTAGTGGAGGCTGGTTGGCTGAGGAGCTGTCTTGCCTCTGCAGGTCCCCCCTGCAGAGTACCACGAAGCCTGCCTCTTTGCCTACTGTGCTGGGGCCCCAGCGGGCAGTGGGCGGGCAGAGCGGCTGGAGGCCGTGTGCGCCACCCTGGCCAGCTATGCCCAGGACTGTGCGGCGCGGCGCATCGCCGTGCGCTGGAGGAAGCCCGGCTTCTGCGGTAGTGCGGCTGCCTGCCCCTCTCTGCCCAGCCTCTGGCCTCCCCACCCCGCGGAACCGGGGAACTGACCGAGGGCCCTCGCGTGGCTCCTGTTTACCTGGGGGCGGGGGGGGGGGAGTTCCGCCAGTGGGCTCTGGCCGGAGGCGGGGAGCTCCTTGGGTCTTACAGCCCACCCCTGTAACCCGCAGAGCGCCTGTGTCCGGGGGGCCAGTTGTACTCCGACTGCGCCTCGGCCTGCCCGCCCAGCTGCTCGGCAGTGGGCGAGGGAGGCGAGCGGAGCTGCGGGGAAGAGTGCGTGAGCGGCTGCGAGTGCCCGCCCGGCCTCTTCTGGGACGGCGCCCTGTGCGTGGCCGCCGCCCGCTGCCCCTGCTTCCGCCGACGCCGGCGCTACGAGCCCGGGGACACCGTGCGCCAGCTCTGCAACCCGTGGTGGGTGCGCGGGCCTAGCGGGCCCTTTCGCGGGGGTCTGAAGGGCTACCCGTAGGTCCCCTCTGATCCCTCTCTTATGCCATCTGCTCTGCAACCTGCCTCCGTTTTGGGGGGCCTCCCTCGCAAATGACCTGCGACCTCTCAAGGCATTAATCGTCCTGCTTAAAACCTAGCGGGTGACCTCCATCAGCGGACCTCTAGTCCTAACGGGGGGAAGGGAGTGCAGGGGGACCAGAGTGCTGAGGGGGTGGGGGTGGGAGGGAGTCTCCAGCTCGGTCCCAACGCACTCCCACCCCCGGCCCCCGGCGGCACGGACCCCGAGCACCGTCTCCCCGGACCCCGAGCACCGTCTCCCCGCCCCTGTGCCCACAGCGTGTGCAGGGACGGCCGCTGGCTCTGCGCGCAGGCGCCGTGCGCCGCCGAGTGCGCGGTGGGCGGGGACGGGCATTACGTCACCTTCGATGGGCGGAGCTTCGCCTTCCGCGGCAGTGCCGGTTGCCGCTTCAGCCTGGTGCAGGTGTGTCGCGCAGGCAGACGGCGGGAGCGGAAGCGGGGGGTCGTGCCAGAGTCCGGGGGGCCCTCCTAGGGTGCTGGTGGGGGTGGGGGGAGCAGTGACTGTAAGGAAAACGCTGAATAAACGAGACAGCCGTCCAGGGAGACTCTGAGACGGCCCCGGCTTCGGAGGGAAGATGGCAGCCGCACACCCCCGAGCCTGCCCTCAGGGTTCTCGCCGCCGCCTCAGGTTCCCGTGGAAGTCTCGCTGTCAGCGCCGCCCCGGGTCGGGGGCGCCACGCAGAACCCACCCGCACAGTCCTTTCTTACAGACGGGACGGCTGGGCTTGTCACACACGCTCTTTCCTGCAAAACGACCCCGGGGGCGAGGGGGAGGGCAAATAAAGAAGAGTCCGTCTTCGTCCCCAGCCCTCCTCCCCGGGTGAAGTGAGGTGACTTCCCAGGTTCCGGCCTGGTACCTTCTTACACACGTAGACACAAACAGGGGCTCCTGCGACGCTCTCATACGTGTGCACATAGATTTACCGTGTGTGTGCACCCTTGCGGGCACTCAGAGACGTGAGCATACGTCCCCACAGGGGGATGAGGCATGTTGCCTGCGCGCATGCACGCATACACACACACTTCAACATGTGCACGTGCGCACACACACAGTCACACACACTTCCACTTGTGCACGTGCACACACACACATTTCCACACGTGCACGTGCATACAGTCACACATACACTTCAACATGTACACACACACAGACACACACTTCAACATGTGCACATGTGTACACACACACAGTCACACACACTTCCACATGTGCACGTGCGCACACACATTTCCACACGTGCACGTGCATACACACAGTCACACATACACTTTAACATGTACACAAACAGACACACACTTCCACATGTGTACATGTGTACACACACACACAGTCACACACACTTCCACATGTGCACGGGCACGCACACACATTTCCACACGTGCATGTGCATACACACAGTCACACATACACTTCAACATGTACACAAACAGACACACACTTCCACATGTGTACATGTGTACACACACACAGTCACACACACTTCCACATGTGCACGGGCACACACACACATTTCCACACGTGCATGTGTATACACACAGTCACACATACACTTCAACATGTACACACACACAGACACACACTTCAACATGTGTACATGTGTACACACAGACACACACTTCCACATGTGTACATGTGTACACACACACAGTCACACATGCCAGCCCTTGGTGAGGGTTAAGCCCCTCACCTCACAGAGTGCAGATGGCTGGCAGGCGGTCAGCACAGTTCTGGGTGGGAGCTGTCCGGAGTGTAGGCTGTGGGCGTCCAGTAAAACAGGAGAAGGCCCAGGAGGGACCCTCCCGCCCCAGCCCCACCATGTTCCTCACCATCTGCCCAGGACTTGGCCAAGCAGAAGCTGCTGATTGTACTGGAGCACGGGGACTGTGACGCTGGGAGCTGCCTCCACGCCATCTCTGTCTCCCTGGGGGACACCCTTGTCCAGCTCAGGGACTCAGGTAGCCCCAGCTCTCAGGATCCCTGCCTTCCAGGCCTTCTGCTCCCAGCAGCCCTCCGGAGTGGCCTCCTGCCATCTGCCCTCTCCCTGTGGGCTCCGGCTCTCTCCAGCACCTTCTGTCCACATTGCCCTGTGATTGCTGAACCCAAATTCTCTGGCTAGACTCCCACAACCGGGATCACTGCCTCAGCTTCCCCCTCACTCTGCCTTCTCTGGAAGGTGCACAAAGGCCTGTGGCGATTTTCCCAGGCATCTTCTGCCCACCTCATCCTCAGGGGAAAATACAATTCAAAGGGTTTTGAAGGAGCTGAAAGGCCTCACGGTATACCTAGGCCAGGCAGGCCCTTCCCAGCTCCTGCACACTGACTCCAAGGGCAAAGGCCAAGTGGGTGCTGAGGGTCCCATGGGGGTTGCTCAAGTGGGATGGGTGACCTCCCAGGGGTCACTCCGGTTCCCCTTGCTCAGGGTGAGTGGCCCACTGAGACGAAGCTCCCCACCTCCTACCCTGGGTCCTTCCCTTTCTTAACAGCCCCGTCCCTAAATATGCCTTCCCTCCACCTCATCAGCCTAGCCCAGCCCTTTGGGGGTGGCCCCCTCACAGACCCCCTATTCCAGGAGCTGTGCTTGTTGACGGGCAGGATGTGGCCTTGCCCTGGAGTGCAGCTGGGGGCCTCAGTGTCTCCCGGGCCTCCTCCTCTTTCCTGCTGCTGCGCTGGCCTGGTGCCCACATCCTCTGGGGAGTGTCCGATGCTGCAGCCTACATCACCCTGGATCCCCGCCACGCCCACCAGGTGTGCCCAGGGGGCGGGTGAGTGGCTGGGCCTGGCCGCTGTGGGCCTGGAATTGACTGTCCCGTGCCCACTCCTGCGGCCCAGGTGCAGGGTCTGTGTGGCACCTTCACCCGGAATCAGCAGGATGACTTCCTGACCCCTGCTGGTGATGTGGAGACCAGTATCACCGCCTTTGCTAGCAAGTTCCAGGTGGCAGGCGGGGGAACATGCTCCTTGGAGGCCAGCACCCCGCTCTCCCCCTGCAGCACCCACACTGAGCGCCAGGTTTTTGCGGAGGTAGCCTGTGCCATCCTGCACGGCCCAGCCTTCCAGGTAGCCAGCTTGGGGACACTCCTGTTTGCCCCTGTAAGATGGGATCAATACCTGCCCTGCCATCCTCCTGGGCTCCTGGGAAGGCCCCACTCCGAGCCATGCCAGGGCTGCTGAGCACCGGGAGGTGGCAGTGGGGAATCCATGGGGAGGAGCTGACCCACTTCCTCGTCTCCCTCCAAGGAGTGCCACGGGCTGGTGGACAGGGAGCCGTTCCACCTGCGCTGCTTGGCAGCTGTGTGTGGCTGCGCCCCTGGCCGGGACTGCCTGTGCCCGGTGCTCGCGGCCTATGCTCGGCGCTGTGCCCAGGAGGGTGCCCTGCCTTCCTGGAGAAACCGGACCTTCTGCGGTGAGTCTGCTCAGCCAGCAGCTGCACCCTTACACTCCCTCCAGCACAGGGGATCCAGGGACTTTGCAGCAGGGGAGGGTCCCAGAAGGATCTCTGACCTCCGCAGATTGCTGGCTTTGTTTTCTTTTGGAGGCAAGGGGGCAGAGCAGCCCCTGACCTGCATGTGTCTCTGTGCCCAGCTGTCTTGTGTCCTGGTGGCCAGGAGTACCAGGAGTGTGCCCCAGCATGTGGTCGCAACTGTGGGGAGCCCAAAGACTGTGGGGAGCTGGACAGCTGTGTGGCCGGCTGTAATTGCCCCCTGGGGCTGCTGTGGGACCCCGAGGGCCAGTGTGTGTCCCCCAACTTGTGCTCCTGCCAGCTTGGGGCCCATCGCTATGCCCCTGGCAGTGCCGCTATGAAGGACTGCAACCACTGGTGAGAGCGGAGATCTTTTGGGGGAGGCAAAGAGCTGGGGGTGAAAAGGTGGAGCTTAGAGAAATGGGGTGAGGGATGTGGGGAGGATGGCATGCCCATTAGAACACTGATAACATCCCCTCAGTTGTGGAGCACTTTAGGGCTTATAAAGCCCTTTTATGTACATTGCCTTATTTAACCTTACTTACTTCTGTGTCCGTGCTAAGTTGCTTCAGTCTTGTTCAACTCTTTGGGACTCTATGGACTGTAGCCCTCCAGGCTCCTCTGTCCATGGGATTCTCCAGGCAAGAGTGCTGGAATGGGTTGCCATGCCCTCCTCTAGAGGATCTTCCCCAGCCAGGGATCGAACCTGTGGTCTCCTGCACTGTGGGCAGTTTCTTGCCTGCTGAGCCACCAGGGAAGCCCAATACCCTAATAAAGTGGGAAGCAAAAGAATTGTTCCCATTTTGCAGATGAGGAAACCGAAGTTCAGATAGGCTAAACAGCTTGCAGAGTCACAGAGCTCATTAATGACGAAGGACAGAACCCAGGTCTCTGAATTCCAGTTGAGGGTGGTCCAGAGGCTTTTCTAAGGATTAGGACATAAAAAGAAGTTGCAGATCTATAGAGACTGTGCCAGAGTCCAGAGTTTTGTGGGTAAGACTTCAGTGAAACCCTTCTCCCACTTGTACTGGGAGTAGGGTTGTTCAGTATCTCGCCCTCTCCCCAGAGCCCAGAGAATGGCTCCTATTGGTGTTGGGTAGGGTGGTAGTGTGTAATCCCAGGTGTGGTCAGGTGCTTGTCATACTTCTTGTGCTTGTGGCAACTGGGGTTGTGGGTGAGACACTCAGGTCTCCAGCATCAGAGCTGGACCTTCCCACAAGGTTAGGGGCTCTGGACCCCTGGGATCCTGAGGCTGTCCCAGGGCAGGTCAGGGGCCTGGAAGTGAGGTCATTTCCCTGCCTCCCAACCTCTGGCAGTGTCTGCCAGGAGAGGGGCCTCTGGAACTGCACTGCTCACCACTGCGCTCCGCCCCGGGCCTTCTGCCCCCGTGGGCTCGTCTACGTCCCTGGAGCCTGCCTCCTCACCTGTGACAGTCCTGACGCTGACCACCCCTGCACCCCAGGCAGCCCTGGGGGCTGTGTCTGCCCCCCAGGCACCGTGCTGCTGGTATGTCTGGGAGGGGCTCTGCTAGCCAGCCCCCTGCCCTGGCCCCTGGCTGGGTGTAACTGGTGGGGAGGGGGCACCAGGCAGTCCTCCACAGAACCCTTTGTCCCTGGCCTCTGCTAGGAGGAGCGCTGCGTGCCTCCTGAGCTCTGTCCCTGTCGTCACGGCGGCCAGTGGTACCTGCCCAACGCTACAATCCAGGAGGACTGCAACCTGTGGTATGTAGGCCCCGCCCTGTGACCTATGACCCTGCGACCTAGTGACCCCTGGCTGGGGGTCAGGATGATGGGTGGGGTGCGATACCCAGACAGGCCTGGACGGTGGAAGCTCCCGGCATCTCTCTGACCTGAAGGTCTGTCTGGCGTTGCCTGGAATCTGGACCTCTGCCTCCCCAGCATCCGGCCTCCCCAGGTCCCGGTCTTCCTGACGGTTTCCCCTCCCCCGTTGCCCACAGCGTGTGCCAGGGTCGGCAGTGGCACTGCACGGGCCAGCGGTGTGACGGACGGTGCCGGGCGTCAGGCGCCCCTCACTATGTGACATTCGACGGGCTGGCCCTCACCTTCCCTGGGGCCTGCGAGTACCTGCTGGTGCGAGAGGCGAGCGGCCAGTTCACGGTCTCCGCCCAAAACCTGCCCTGCGGGGCCAGCGGCCTCACCTGCACCAAGGCGCTGACTGTGCGGCTGCAGGGCACTGTTGTGCACATGCTCAGAGGTGGCTGTGACATTGAAGGGGGACGTGGCCAAGGAGGGGGCCCCCTCCCCCCGGGTGGCGTCCCAGCTCTGCGGGGGCAGCTGAGGCCTGGGATTTGCCAGTCTCCCCACTGCTAGCCATCAGTCCGAGGGGATGGGGGTGGAGGAGGGGGCTGGTGACGCTTCTCTTGGTTGGGAACCCTGATTCTGGAAGGCTCCAGGAAATGAAAGCCCAGAGAGGTCTAACGACTTGCTCCAGGTCACACAGCTGGAGGAACAAAGGAAAGGCTGGAGGGGAGGGAGGCTGGGAGGGCCTCATGGGGATCTTGGAGCCCCTGGACCCCGAGGCCAGGCCTGAATGCCTCTGCTCCCCCACAGGCAGGGCAGTGACGGTGAATGGGGTGAGTGTCACGCCCCCCAAGGTCTACTCGGGCCCCGGGCTGAGCCTGCGCCCCGCCGGCCTCTTCCTGCTCCTCAGCACCCGTGTGGGTCTCACCCTGCTCTGGGATGGAGGTCAGCACCCCGCCCGCCACTCATCTGACCCCTGCCCTGCAGCTCCTACCCCCGCACAAAGTCTTCCTCCTCCACACATCTGATCAGTCTCCAAATTACGTTTTCATCATCACATCTTTCTGCCTTATGAAAGCAATACCTCCTCGCCAAAAGAAATGGTTAAAATACAGCAAGTTTTAGAGAGAAGAAATAAAAAGAAATCTAACAACCCACCACCCAAACCCAAGCAGCAGGTGATTTAGAAATAACTGGTTACTGAGAAATCAAAGGAAATCCAAACGCCCCCCACCCTCCCCGGTGTGGGCAAAGTCATTTGCACTGAGGCCTCTGGGGCTGGAGAGTGTCACAGTGTGTCCTGGACTCTGGAATCCTGCCCTCTGGAGATTTTCCGTACCCCGCCTTCAACCTGAGTTTAGTTAAGAAAGTCGGCTCTCACTTCCTGCCCTGGGCCCTGCCCCCGTAGGTAGGTCTCATGTCTGTCACCGCCAAGCACCACCCCAAACATGAGGGAGCCGGTGCCCCCACTGAGGGAATTGATACCTTTGTCAGATGGTCAAACCAGCCCACATGATACAGGCGCCTAGGTCTCCCCACTCCTTGTAGCTCAGTTAGTAAAGAATCTGCCTGCAATGCAGGAGATCTGGGTTCGATCCCTGAGTTAGGAAGATCCCCTGGAGAAGGAAATGGGAACCCACTCCAGTATTCTTGCCTGGAGCATCCCATGGGCAGTTGCACTGAGGCCTCTGGGGCTGGAGAGTGTCACAGTGTGTCCTGGACTCTGGAATCCTGCCCTCTGGAGATTTTCCGTACCCCGCCTTCAACCTGAGTTTAGTTAAGAAAGTCGGCTCTCACTTCCTGCCCTGGGCCCTGCCCCCGTAGGTAGGTCTCATGTCTGTCACCGCCAAGCACCACCCCAAACATGAGGGAGCCGGTGCCCCCACTGGGGGAATTGATACCTTTGTCAGATGGTCAAACCAGCCCACATGATACAGGCGCCTAGGTCTTCTCCCCACTCCTTGTAGCTCAGTTAGTAAAGAATCTGCCTGCAATGCAGGAGATCTGGGTTCGATCCCTGAGTTAGGAAGATCCCCTGGAGAAGGAAATGGGAACCCACTCCAGTATTCTTGACTGGAGCATCCCATGGGCAGAGAAGCCTGGCGGGCTACAGTCCACAAGGGTTGCAAGAGTTGGACACGACTTAGCGACTAAACCACCAGGTCTTGTCCCCATTCCTGGCCCTAAAGAAGGCCCCCAGATCCGTCTCCAGAGCCCCCCTGCCACACTCTCTGTCCAGGCACCCGGGTCCTGGTGCAGCTGTCACCCCAGCTCCGCGGCCGGGTGGCTGGCCTGTGCGGAGACTTCGATGGAGACGCCAGTAACGACCTTCGGAGCCGCCAGGGGGTCCTGGAGCCCACCACTGAACTGGCCGCCCACTCCTGGCGCCTCAGGCCTCTCTGCCCGGAGCCGGGGGACCTGCCGCACCCCTGTGCGGTGAGGATGGGCAGGAGAGGGGGTGAAGGGAGGAGGGGGCAGCTGCTGGAACCCGGGGTGGGGGGTGGTTCCAGAGGTGGGGTGCTGAGAAGGGGTCTGGCTGGTCCACGGGGGTGTCCCCACAGGTGAATGCCCACCGGGCCGGTTGGGCCCGCACCCGCTGCGGGCTGGTGTTGCAACCACTCTTTGCCCGGTGCCACGCGGAGGTGCCCCCGCAGCAATACTATGAGCGGTGTGTGTATGATGCCTGCGGGTGAGAGGGGCAGGCCTGGGGACCCGGGGTGGGTGTGGGTGTGTCGGTGGGGGAACAGCAGGGGGCTGACCGCTCCCTCCCACAGCTGCGATTCGGGGGGCGACTGTGAGTGTCTCTGCTCGGCCATCGCCACCTATGCAGACGAGTGTGCTCGGCACGGGATCCACGTGCGCTGGCGCAGCCAGGAGCTCTGCCGTGAGTATGCCCGGCCTTCAGTCTATGATACCCCATCTCGCCGCCTGCTCAGCTCCTCTGGGGATACTTCTGGCCTGAAGGCCATTCATTCATTCATTCATTCATTCCTGGAGTGCTTACTATGAGCCAGATGCTGTCCTAGATGAACCAAACATGCTGAGATCGCTGCTGTGTTGCAAATAGCCTTGGCAGGCGCCTGGCAAGACATCCACGCCATTCATACACCCCAGTGCCCTCCATGGGTCTTGCTTTGGGCTGGCTCGCCCGCTGCTGTTGCTTCCTGGGGCCCTCGCCCTGTGGTGACCCAGGCCTCTCTCCTCCCCACCCAGCTCTGCAGTGTGAGGGGGGCCAGGTGTATGAGGCCTGTGGCCCCACGTGCCCCGCCACATGCCACGACCACAGTCCCGAGCCTGGGTGGCCCTGCCGGGCCGTCGCCTGTGTGGAGGGCTGCTTCTGCCCCGAGGGGACTCTGCTGCATGGTGTGTAGGGTCAGAGTGGGCAGAGGGGAGGGGGCTCTGGGTAGGGGGGGTGCAGAGGGGCCACAGGTGACGGGGTGCCCCTTTGGCTGGAACCCTGCCGTCTGTGCCCTCAGGAGGTGTCTGCCTGGAGCCGGCTGCCTGCCCTTGCGAGTGGGGGGGCAGCTTCTTCCCACCGGGCACAGTATTGCAGAAGGACTGTGGCAACTGGTGAGCGGGGGTGGAGGGGGGTGCCCCCACGCCCTGGGCTGGCCAAGCCCGGCACCGCTGCTGATCCCTGGACACCATGTCCTCAGCACGTGCCGGGAAAGTCAGTGGCTTTGTGGAGATGACGGCGGCCGCTGTGCGGAGCCTGAGCCTGGCTGTGCGGAGGGAGAGATCCCCTGCCAGGAGAGCGGGCACTGTGTGCCCCACAGGTGGCTCTGTGACAACCAGGATGACTGTGGCGATGGCTCAGATGAGGAGGGTGAGTGTCTTGGGTGGCGTGCGGCAGTGGCAAGTGGCAGGTCAGGCCTCCGATGGAAGCACGTGTCCTAGGGCCACTTCCTAAGCTGTGGGTCCAGTTACCAGTTGCTTGTGGGCAGGGGTGTCCTGGTTTCTGGGGTTGGGGCTTCTCTGGGAGCCTCTGTGGGTGTCCTGAGCCTGCCTGCCTTCTTTGCCCCAGGCTGTGCCACCCCGGGCTGTGGGGAGGGGCAGGTGTCTTGCAGCTCCGGCCGCTGCCTGCCCCTGGCCCTGCTTTGCGATGGGCAGGACGACTGTGGAGATGGGACGGATGAGCAGGCCTGCCCGTGCCCCCAGGACTCGCTGGCCTGTGCCGATGGGCGCTGCCTGCCCCCGGCCCGGCTCTGTGATGGGCACCCCGACTGTCCGGACGCTGCTGACGAGGAGTCTTGCCTGGGTTAGTGGTCCCTACCCCGGGCTCCAGCCCACCAGGCATCTGTCTTGTGAGCCCCCACCTGCCTCCCTCCCCTCCTTCGCCAGTGCAGGTTCCTGCTGGCATGTGAGAGAGGGCACTCTGAGGAGCAGTACCCTGGGACCAGCCCCTCTCTCTGGCTACAGGGCAAGTGGACTGCGCCCCTGGGGAGGTATCCTGCGTCGATGGTACCTGTCTGGGGGTCATCCGGCTGTGTGACGGAGTCTGGGACTGTCTGGACGGAGCCGACGAAGGGCCTGGGCACTGCCCCCTCCCCTCTCTGCCCACTCCTCCCGCTGGTACCTTGCCTGGCCCCTCTGCTGTCTCCTGGGATATTGCGCCTACCCCCCTGGCCAGTGTCGGCCCTGGTGAGCCTCCGGGAGGAAAGGGGCTTAGAAAGCTGGCATCTGGAGGCCTGGGAAGGAGGGAACAGGGTCTCAGGGGGAGACCTAGGGGCACAAGGTTGGAGGGGGGAGGAGGGAAGGAGCAGGGCACAGTCCAGCTTCCTGGAGACAGCGGAATGAAGGACGTGAAGGGAGAGAGGGCTGAAAAGAGTCCAAACCTTCTTCCCAGGAGTTCAGAGCCGCCTCTAAACTGAGTGGCGACTGTTGGGAATTCTTGGATGAGGAAAGAGCTTTAGGAAAACCAATCAATCATCAAAATGCCGGAGGGACTGGACTTGGGGAGGGGCCGAAGGTGGGGGGAGGGCCGGGCGCAGGGAGGGGCCCAGAGGGGACGACGGCGGTGGAAGGGCCCGGTCGTCGCGCTGGCGGGCGGGACGCCTTCTCTTCCCACCCCAACCCGAGCGCCCCCGCTAGAGAGAGTGTCTTAGGTCTAAGGCATCCGAGCCTGGAGCGAGTGTTGTGCTCTTTGAATCTCTTCTGGGAAACTCTGAAAACTTCTGCCTGCCCACCCATCCCCGGGAGGGCCCGGAGGAGGAGGGTAGAAAGGGCTTTCGTCTTTGATAAAAGGGCGGGCCTGAGTGGCTTTGTCGCAGGGCGTGGATCTGTTTGGGGGGTCCTCAACCTCTCCTCACCAAAACTGGGGGTTCCTTTTGTGTCCCTGCAAGTCAGACCTTCACTGTCCTGACCACCTGTGGGGGGTGCTGTCCATAGACCCCATTTCCTCCCCTCCCCATGGCCTGCCTTCCTGCACCCTCCCAAAGGTGTCTCTGACCCAGGCTAGGTCCCCTGTGATTTTTGTCTCAATCTTGGTTCCCTCCAGGGTTCCCCGGTGGCTCAGCGGTAAAAGAATCCACCTGCAAAGCAGGAGATTTGGGTTCGATTCCTGGGTTGGGAAGAACCCCTGGAAAAGGAAATGGCAACTGACTCTAGTGTTCTTGCCTGGAGAAGCCCATGGACAGAGAAGCCTGGTGGGCTCTAGTTCATGTGGTCACAAAGAGTCAGACACGACTGAGCGATTCATGTTTTGGGCTTTCCAGATGGCGCTAGTGGTAAAGAAACCGCTTGCCAGTCTAGGAGACTAGGGTTCGATCCCTAGGTCAGGAAGATCCCCTAGAGAGGGGCATGGCAACCTACTCCAGTATTCTTGCCTGGAGAACTCTATGGCCAGAGGAGCCTGGTGGGCTACAGTCCCTGGGGTCCCAAAGAGTCGGAAGACTGAGTGACTTAGCATGCATACACCCCTCCGTGCCTTTGGAGCCCCACCCCTTGCAGGCTCCACCCAGCTGTCCCCTTGCAGGAGTCTCTTCCCCTGTGATTTGACTCCCCAATTGTGCCTGAACCCCCATCAGCTCTGGGATGGGCTCCCCACCTGTCCTCACCCCAGGGAGGACAGGGTGGACACACTGTTCCCCTGGTGGAGGCCAAGGCTGGTGGGGGCCGGGGATGTGGCTCTCACTTACACCTAACTGTTTTCTCTCCTCTTTTCTCAGAGGGGCTGCGGGCCCCAGGAGGCCCCAACCAGACAGGGCTTCCCTGCCCAGAATACTCCTGCCCGGATGGCCTCTGCATCGGTTTCCAGCAGGTGAGGCTGGGGAGCGGGTGGTGCGGGAGGCCAGCGCCCCCGGTGCCCTCAAAGCACGAGTCGCCCCGACCGTGTTGTTCTGACCCCAGGTGTGCGACGGGCAGCCCGACTGTGAGCTGGCGGGGATGCCAGGGCCCTCCCCGGAAGAGCAGGGCTGTGGGGCCTGGGGGCCCTGGAGCCCCTGGGGGCCCTGCAGCCAGACGTGTGGGCCAGGGGCGCAGGGCCGGAGTCNGGGCCCTGCAGCCAGACGTGTGGGCCAGGGGCGCAGGGCCGGAGTCGCCACTGCTCGCCCCCGAGCCTCCCGGTGCTGCGGCACTGCCCTGGCCCGGAGCGCCAGACTCGGGCCTGCTTCGTGGCCGCCTGCCCAGGTAAGGGGGGCGCCTGGGCACCGGGAGGCCAGCACGGTGGGTAGGGCCTGCGAAAGCAGGGGGGAGGAGGAGGGCGCCAGGCCCCCCTGCCCAGCCTCACAGCCGCCCCCCACCCTGCTGGCCGGCCCTTGCCCCCCACAGAGGACGGTGCATGGACCTCCTGGTCACCCTGGTCCCCGTGCTCTGAGCCATGCGGGGGCGTCACGGCTCGCCACCGGGAGTGCCACCCGCCCCAGAACGGGGGCCGGGCCTGTGCCATGCTGCCCGGGGGCCCTCCCAGCACCCGGGAGACCCGTGAGTGGACGGGAAGCGGGCGCGGAGGAGAGAGGGTGGAGGGGCGGCAGGGGGGAGCTTGTCCCCAATGGGGACCCACCTGCGATGACCTCCTCCCAGGGCCCTGCCCTCAGGACGGCTGCCCCAACATCACCTGCTCCGGGGAACTGGTGTTCCATGCCTGCGCCCCTTGCCCTTTGACCTGTGATGACATCTCTGGTCAGGCCTTGTGCCCCCCTGACCGGCCCTGCGGCGGCCCAGGTAAGGGGGCTCTGGCCCTGGGGTGTGGGGGGCCTATCTGCCCGGCCGAGCTCTCTGCAGGGAGGCCTCACACCGGGCCTCCCTCAGGCTGCTGGTGCCCTGCGGGGCAGGTGCTGGATGCCCGGGGGCAGTGCGTGTGGCCGCGGCAGTGCCTGTGCCTGGTGGACGGCGGCCGCTACTGGCCCGGGCAGCGCGTCAAGACCGACTGCCAGCTCTGCGTCTGCCAGGACGGGAGGCCCCGGCGCTGCCGGCCCAGCCCAGACTGCACGGGTGAGCCCCACCCCACCCTTCTCGAGGGGCTCTGGTCTCTCCCAGACCACCCAACCCAGACTACGTGGGTGAGCCCCACCCCACCCTTCCCGAGGGGCTCTGGTCTCCCCCAGACCGCCCCGCCTCCCCCAGCCCTGACTCATGGCCCCCCCCTCAGTGAACTGTGGCTGGTCAGCGTGGTCCCCCTGGGCTGAGTGCCTGGGCCCCTGTGGGAGCTGGAGCGTCCAGTGGTCCTTCCGGAGTCCCAACAACCCCCGCCCGGCCGGTCGAGGGCACCAGTGCCGGGGCCTCCACNGCAGTAAGGGTGGGGCGGGGCAGTGCGTAGAGGTCAGAATTATGGGCGGCAGCTGATGGAGCGGGCAGGTGGCCAGTTTCGTCCAGCCTGGCTCTTGCATCCGCAGGACTGGGTTCTGGTGGAGGCAGTGGGGGAGTCATGTTGCCGCTGCGTGCCTCCTGGTGAGTGGGTCTGGGGGCAGCAGAGGAGCTCCAGGGGGAGGAGGATGGCGGGAAGCCAGAGGTGGCTGCACCGAGTCCGCGGGGGGCGGGGGCGGCACTGGCTACCCCAGCCTCAGGGTGAGGGGAGCCTGGGTCATGGACGCTGGGCAAGGAAGGGGCCCTCTGGGTCGGGGTGGGGGCCTCTAAGGCTGGGCCTCAGTCTCTGCCCACCTCCTCTGACCTCCCGCACGAGGTTACCCTTGAGTGTACTTTCCTTTCTCTGGTTCTGATGGGCTGGATCTGGTTCCTTTCCTGTTCCCTCTAAGAGCAACCATGACCCAGTTGGACTTTTCAAGACCATGTTTACTTGGAAACTGAATTATAAATAAAACAGAATGCAAAGGCTCAAAAACGGATGCACTTTGGGGCCCAGATTTCATATCTTAAAAGTGTACCCATAGGCTGCTGAGGTTAGGAGAGCGCCCGCCTGCACAGTGGTACAGGTGGCTGACTGCACAAGTTACGTGGTGAGTGGGGACCAGACTTTAAGACTGAAAGACTGCTTCCATCCAGAGATGCCCTTTTCTGGTGCCCACAAAGTTCCCCTATTAGCGACAGCAGCCCTGATCAGGAACTGAACTGCAGCCGCTCTGTCCTGGCCCCTGAAGTGGCTTTTTGGGCAGGTGGTTTTAGTCTGCATTCTCTAAATATATTTAGTGGAAGCGAAAACCCCTGACTCACTCGGGGATGGAGCTTTCCCAGCTGTGGGAGGGGGGCACTGTTCCCAAAGTTCCCCAGGAAGTCGTGGGAGAGAAAGTGCTCCAACGAGTGGAGAGAGGTTGGGCTGGGGCCTGGTGTGAACCTGGGTCTCTCCTCCCCCACCTCCAGGAGAGAACCAGACGGTCCACCCCATGGCCACTCCCGTGCCTGCTCCGACCCCTAGCCCTCAAATCGGAGCCTCTCTGATCACCTACGTTCTGCCTCCCCCCGGAGGTAAGGGCCACGGGCTGTTGTAGGGCCGAGGGGGGCTGTTCCCGAGGGGTTGTCCAGCCTGGGAGGGGAGACCGGATCGCTGGACTATACCTCTTTCCTTCCATGGGGAGGACGGTTATCTTAAGGATCTATCTAGATGTCAGCACAACCTGTTTCCTCCCTAACCCTGCCCTCCCTGGACCAGCCTCCAGTGATCCTACAAGGTCAACTGGCTGGATTTTCAACCCTCCAGAGCACCCCTTGTGCCTTCCTAAATATGCCTCTGGCAGGCTCCAGCCCTTCTCTTATGCACCCAGATCCCTGCTATTCTCCCCTGGGCCTGGCCCGACTTCTCGAGGGGAGCCTGCCTGCTTCGTCCCAGCAGCTGGAGCACCCCGCCTGGGCTGCCATCTTGAGGCCTGCCCTGGGAGTGCCCGGTTGGAGCCCCATGGAGCACGCTGATACTCAAGAGCACACCCCGCCTCCCTACCTGCAGCTTGACCTGCTCCAGCCCAGGAACCTCACCGGTCAGTGGGGAGACGGCAGAGGCCAGGGCTGGAGGAGGAAGGAGTGGAGGATGGTGGGGCTGGGGGTGGCGCTCGCTGCTTTAGCTCTGCCCCCTGCTCCTCCCCCCAGGCATCATAGTGCAGGGGGCTGGGTCCTTAGACTGGCTCCAGGTCAGCAGTGATGGTCTACATTGGCACAGCTATCGTGACATCCGGCCTGGTATTCAGCCCGCACCCCAGGTACCGCCCACTTGGGCCCCCTGGACCAGTGACCCACTGTGCCCTTTTGTGTGGGGCCCACACTCTGTGTTCCCAAGGGGTTTCTTGTCTCCAGAGGGACATTTCCTGCTTTAGAGGCTTGTTCAGCACCTGTTAGTAGCAGGGACAGTGTTCGGTGGGGCAGAAGGGCCACAGTCGAAAGGGCATTAGATATGATTGAAGTGGCTCAGATGGGGGGCAGGTGTGGGAAGCCCTCCTGTGGAGGGAGGGGCTTGGGGTGACAGCGAGGTCACTGAGGGCCTCGGGGCGTGTGGAGAGCAGCTGGGCATAGCCCTGCCCTCCTGGGGCTAGCATCCTCCCCACGGAGACTCAGATGGTAAAGAATCTGCCTGCAATGTGGGATGCCCAGGTTCAATCCCTGGGTGGGGAAGATGCCCTGGAGAAGGAAATGGCCACCCGCTCCAGTACTGTTGCCTGGGAAATCCCATGGACGGAGGAGCCTGGTATGCTATAGTCCATGGGGTCGCAAAGAGTCGGACATGACTGGGCGACTTCACTTTCACTTTCTTTGCCACGTGTGGGCACTGGCCTGGCCCTAGGGACACCGCAGCGGGCACCCTGCCTTTAGGAAAGTGGGACCGGAGCCCCTCAGCCTTGGGGGACCCGGATGACTCATGCTGGGAGACCATGAGCGCTGGGACGGCCCGGTCCATGCCATGGAGGTTGGGGGGACGGGCGGGGGGGTGGGGTGCTGGGCAGGGTCCCGGTGGCAGCCTGAGCAGACACCCCCATCCTTGTAGCTTTTCCCCGAGAACTGGGATGGCGCCTCCACAGTGTGGACGTTTGCCCGGATGGTGCAGGCACAGCACGTCCGGGTGTGGCCTTCCGATGGGCACCACCAGGCTAACCCCCGCAGTGATGCCAACCCGGGCGGCCCCCTGCGGGTGGAGCTGCTGGGCTGTGAGCCAGGTACAGGCTGGGCTGGGGGAGGGAGAGATGGCAGTGGGCAGGAGGGAAGGGCAGGAGCCCTCAGCCATCCCCCCTACCCCGCCATGTCCCCACCGGGCAGCGCCCCTGTGCCCAGGGGTTGGGCACCGCTGTGCTGGTGGCGAGTGTGCCCCCAGGGGGGCCCCGTGCGATGGTGTGAAGGACTGCGAGGATGGCTCTGATGAGGAGGGCTGCATGCCGCTGCCTGCAGGCGCCAGCAGGTATGGGGCACCCTGCCGCCCAGCTCAGCCTTGGTGGGGGGCCCTACCGCCCAGCTCAGCCTTGGTGGGGTGGCCCAGCTTTGTGGGAGGAGCCTGTGTTGCCTGCACCCCCAAAGTGCCCATGGGCCGGGGTGCTGAGTTGCTGCAGCTGGGTACCTTTGGAGGCCCCTTCCCACGCGGGATTCTGTGCTGTTGTCCTGAAGCTGGAGGTCAGTGGCTCTCAGAGGGTGGTCCTTGGACTAGCGGCATCAGCATCACCTGGAAGTTGGTAGAAATGCAGACTCTTAAGGCTGCAGTCTGGACCTGCTGAGGCAAACACTGAGGGACAGGGGGCACCCAGCCCCTCTGCTTAACAAACCCTCCAGGGAGCTCTGACCTTTGGGACCACAGTGGAGGGCATCCCCATGTCTAGTCTCAGCGGGCAGTGCCCTCCCCAGGCCCGCCCAAGGATGATCCCCTGCCCGGATGGGGCTTCTGAAGCTGGGAGAGCCCCTGGAGCCCCCATGGTTATTTTTCTCTCAGAATCGAGTCCACAGCCTGGAGCTCCATGCCCTCCTCTGCCCAGCCTGGACAGCTGCCCCCTCAGCCCAGCAAGGTGCATGGGGAGACACCGAGGGGGTTGGAGCAGGGGATCCGAGTGCACCCCTGGGGGGGGGATGAACTGCCCCCGGGCTGGGGCCTCACGGGCAGCTGACCCTCTCCTCTCTCTGCAGGGTCTGGCAGAAGCAGAGGCTGACCACTGGCATCCCGGGCGGGGGTCACCCGTGCCTCCCACAGGTACGTGCCCAAACTCTAGGCTGCCTTCCTGGCTTCGCCTGCCACCCAGCCTGTTCTTTCAGGGCAGGGGTCTATTATATCTCTAGAGGTCAGTCTTCTGACCCCTCTCATTCTCTGACTGAGCAAGGTGGGTTCAGGGAGGCAGGTGTGGTCCCTGTGGACTCCTTGGCCAGGTCCAGCCCCTGCCCACTGTCTGGATTCCAGGGTGTGAGGCTGGCACTCCCTTCACCCCCCATCCCCCGCACTCACCCAGCCAGGCACCCATTTCAGAAGCGTTTGCAGGCAGATGTCTGACAGTGGGCACAAGGAAGCCAGGGTCACTCAGTTAGCGGGGTCCTAAATAGGACAAGGAAGGGGCTCCTGTTGTGTGCCAGAAACCCCTGCAACCATGGTGGCCTGGCCCTTCACCTGCACAAGGGCCCAGGAGAGCTGTCTTTGGGGGAGGCAGCCGGTGAGGGCTATCAAGAAAGCCAGGCATGACCTTCTCTCTTGGGACGTGTTGGGCCCATCTCACTGCCTGCCCGGGCCTCAGTTTCCCCCTCTGTGAGCCCAGGAGCACTTACAGTTGGTGCTTATGGTCCCTTCTAGAAAGTTCTGAGGATTGCTATTCAGGAGCTTGGCTAGCAGTGCTTCTGCGTCTCTTGTGAGAAGCAGATGAAGCCACTTGAATTATTGCTTGGGTCTGCAAAATGCAGACTCCCATGATGAAGTCTCATCTCATCCCAAGTCTGGTTCTAGAAAAAAGGCTTTTTTTAGCAAGAATCTCTTTGTAGAAAATAGGTTCATCCTTTTTTTCCCTGTAGCTGCCAGGAGGCTCCCAGCCGATTTCTCTGTACCTGCAGCGAAGGGCTGGTGCTGAGTTTCTGGCCGGGCGGCTCCTCCTGCTGCTGTTTGTGTTTCTCCATAAATGTTGACTCTATAGTGAGTTTCACTTGGAGGCTGCTGTGTGTGTCTTCGTGAGCGGAGAGTACACATCTCACTCAAAACTCAGCTTTTGCGTTCAGTTAAAACCCTTCTTGTGCCCCTGGGATGACCGAGTCCCCTTTCCATTTTGATTTGAAGCCCCTTGGAAGGTGGGGTGTCACCTGTCACCACCCCGAGACCTGGAAAACCTTCTGGAGGGCCCACATCAGCCTCATCTTAGGGACAGGGAACTGATGGGCTCCCCCTCCCTCCTGCACCCCCAGGCAAGGGGCCAGTGAGTCTCGGGTCCGAGCCTCACCCAAGTCCTGGGAGATCTGCGCAGATTGCAACCCCCAGCCCCACCTCCCAGCCGGAGGCCCAGGCCCTGAAACCAGAAATGGCAGCTGTGACGGTGCTCCCCCTGCACCCGATGATGACGCCCGAGGTCCCTGCTGGTGAGATGCCTCCTGCCCTGTAGCGATGGCTTCCCCATGGAGGAACCGAGGCCCTGAGAGCTTGGCTGCTTTGCTCCCGGTCACACGGCTCGAGCTCAGGGACTTGGGAGGATCAAGCCTAGGACCCAAGCCTCCCGAGACTGCTCCCTGCTTTTCCGTAATCCCACAAGAGCAGGAAGGGAGGGTACAGCGGATGTCAGGAGGGAGGCTGGGGGCTGCTGGGAGGTGATGGAGGGGAGAGGACAGGGCTGGGGAGGGGGTGATGGCCGGTCAGCTGGCTGTGGTGGTGCCCACAGGACGGAGCACCGCCCTGGGGCCCTTCCCGCCTGTGCGGTGCAGCCCAGGCCAGGCGCCCTGCGAGGTCCTGGGCTGCGTGGAGCTGGAGCAGCTGTGTGATGGACGGGAGGACTGTCTGGATGGCTCTGATGAGAGGCCCTGCGGTGAGCACCCCGGAGAGTCCGGTGCCATGAGGCTGGTCACGGCAAGACGGCTGTAGGTTTGGGGAGGTGCCTGCCTCCATTTCTAGCATATATGAGAAGGTCCTCAAAAGGCTAGCAGACACGGGGAGTGGAAGGAAACTGAATGGGTAAAAACAACCAGCAGTGTGTGTGTCTTTGGGGATGGTGGGGGGTGGGGCATGGGATAGGTGTTTTATAAAATCTCTCTGACCTTGGAGGTTGTTCATCCATCCATCCATCCATCCATCCATTATCGACCCATCTATCCATCCATCAAAGTAGACCACTATGCTCAAAGCCTAGATTTCAATCAAGAGAAAAGCCATCAAGTATTAGCCAATAACGGGAAGGATCGAGTGTTAGCTAGTTCCTGGGAGGGGGTGGGGGAGGAGTCCATCAAAGGGATACCTGGGGAGTGAAGTGTTCTTAGACGCTCTGGCTTCTCTCGGGACACTCCAAGAGCTGTTGACAAATAGAGACTGTGAGATGGAGTGTGGACGGAAGACCACCCCACTCACAGCACAGGGAAGCCTGGGTGCTGGGCTGGGTGGCTGTGGGAGGAATCAGGAGGAAGGGAAGGCCGGGGGTCGGTCAGCGGGTTCGGTTCCCCGCTCGGCCTGGGGTTGAAGGGGTCGGCTTATCACGGAGCGGGAATCACCTGTGTGGCTCCCTTGCCCTTCGCCAACCCCAGCACGGGCAGCGGGCACCGTGCCCTTCACCGTGCCCACCACCGCCTCGCCGGGGCTGCCGGCCTCCAGGGGCCTCTGCTCGCCGAGCCAGCTGACCTGCGGCAGTGGGGAGTGTCTGCCCGCCGAGCGGCGCTGCGACCTGCAGCCTGACTGCCACGACGGCTCGGACGAGGACGGCTGTGGTAGGGGCGGGGCTGGGCCGGGCCGGGGGTAGGGGGGGCGCCCCGGGGAGGGCCAGCTCCCGCGTGAGCCCCCCTCTGAACCCGGCTCACCCGTCCCCGCAGTAGACTGTGGCCTGGCGCCCTGGTCTGGCTGGAGCAGCTGCAGCCATAGCTGCGGCCTGGGCCTCGCCTTCCAGCGCCGGGAGCTGCTGCGGCCGCCCCTGCCCGGGGGCAGCTGCCCGCCGGACCGGCTCCGCAGCCAGCCCTGCTTCGTGCAGGCCTGCCCAGGTAACCGGCCTCCCCTCTCTGGCCTCCCAGCACCTCCTCAATGTGGGACACCCTCACGGGGAAATGCCCCTGCTTCCCCCTGGGATCCGTGTGTCCGGCTCCGGGACTCTAGGAGGACAGCCCCTTCCGACCTCCCAGCCTCACCGCCGGCCCCCGGAGGGCTCGTCCGAAGGCGGCTACCCGCCCGGCCCCCTTCCTGCCGGAGTGTGGGAACTGGAGCCGCTGCAGGCCCGCCCCAGAGGGAGGCTGTGAACAGGCGGCCCCGCTGGTCCCGGGCTCTGCGCCCGAGGCCCCGCGGCGCTTTTGTTTAGCGGATCCGAGGGAGGGGCCCCAGCCCGCCGCATCCTTGCATCCAGGGTTTCCCACGCGGGGCTTCCTCCGCCCGCAGGCAGCACTCGTAACCCCGCTTCTCACCGCTGCCTCCAGGGGGCGCGCCGCCCCGGGATTCCCTTTCCTGGGACCAGAGCCGCGGTCCCCAGAGGCCTTTCCACACGTCACCCCTCGCCCCCCCCCACCTAAGGGGGCTTTCCTGGGACACGAGAGGAAGCTGCGGAGTCCTCGGGGCGCTGCCCTAATCCACCCCGTTGACCACTGCCCAGACTCCCCGGCTCCTTGGCCGTCTCTCTAGGGGGGTTGCAGCTCTTGAGGTTCACCGCCTGGTTCACCCCCGTTCTTCNGGAAGCTGCGGAGTCCTCGGGGCGCTGCCCTAATCCACCCCGTTGACCACTGCCCAGACTCCCCGGCTCCTTGGCCGTCTCTCTAGGGGGGTTGCAGCTCTTGAGGTTCACCGCCTGGTTCACCCCCGTTCTTCTTCCGCCCCGCTGCAGTGGCTGGGGCGTGGGCTGAGTGGGATGCCTGGGGGCCCTGCAGCGTCTCGTGTGGGGGCGGCCATCGGAGTCGTCGGAGAAGCTGTGTGGACCCCCCGCCCAAGAATGGTGGTACCCCCTGCCCCGGGGCCCCCCAGGAGAGGGCACCCTGCGGCCTGCAGCCCTGTGCAGGAGGCACAGGTGAGCGGAGCTGGGCTGGGGCGGGGGGGCGTCTGAGGGGGAGCCCCGGCGTGGGGGTGGGGCTGTGAGGCCCGTCGCTGGGCCTCTTGGCGCCCCCCCTGCCTGGTGCGCATCCTCCTCTCCCGGACCCCAGACTGCGGGCAGGGCCTCGTGCATGTGAGTTCTGAGCTGTGCCGGAAGGGGCTGGTGCCACCGTGCCCACCCTCCTGCCTGGATAGGGGGCCCTGCTCTGTCAACCAGGGGGCTGCCCTGTGCCCTGCGGCTGGTCAGCCTGGTCGTCCTGGGGTCCCTGCGACCGCTCCTGTGGCTCTGGCCTGAGGGCCCGGTTCAGGTGTGCGGGCAGAGGGGGGATGGAACCGGAAGGGATCGGGCGGCGTGGGGGCGAGCGGAGGGCCTCGGGGCGCGAGGGGCGGGGCGGGGAGCGGTGTCCAGTCTGCCTCTCTCCTCAGGTCCCCCTCCAACCCTCCGGCTGCTTCGGGGGGCGCCCCGTGTGAGGGCCAGAGGCAGGAGCTGCAGGCTTGCTACTCGGCATGCGGGGCAGGTGGGTCCCCGCCCGCCTCCGTCCTCCAGATTCCTGCCAGGAGAGCGCGGCTGGGTCGAGCCTGCTGGTCACTCTGCTGGGTGGTCAGCCCTGGGTGGTCAGCAAAGCCCCCATTCAGGAGGCGCCCCGGGGAGAAGATGAAGGCCTGGCGGGGGGCGGGGGATGGCTCAGGCGTCTGACAGCAGGATGCGGGCATGAGGCTGGATCTGGGGGCAGGGACGGGAAGAGGGGGCTAGCTCAGGACCTCCTGGAACCCAAGACTATTGCCCTCCTTTCATGGCTGGGGGCCCTCAGAGCCATCCCAGCGGGGGTCTCTGGGTCTTTTGTGCCCAGGCGACCGCGCAGAGTGTGAGCAGGGAAGTTGGGGTGCAGCTGGGAGCCCAGGGAATCTGGGTGCAGGTTCTGAGCAGGAGGGAAGGGAGGGGCCATTGGAGAATGGCAGTTGGCTGTCTGAGAAGTCTCTAGGGTTTCCTCACTGAGGGTGGATGAAGGACCATTGTTTAGAAGGCTCTTGAAGAAAATGTGAGGGTGGGCGTGGGCTTGTGGATTACCCTCCAGGCCCCCGGATAGAGGTGGGGGCCCAGTGAACCAGATTCAGTTCAGTTCAGTTCAGTTCAGTACAGTCGCTCAATCGTGTCCGACTCTTTGTGACCCCATGGACTGCAGCATGCTAGGCCTCCCTGTCCATCACCAACTCCTGGAGTTGACTCAAACCAGATTCAACAGAAGGCTAAGCTCTAAGAGGGAGACCTGGGTCCATGTTGGGGGTCCTGGAGGGGCAGAGACCATGCCCACCCTCACGAGCCCTTCTCTCGCCCCCGTAGCTTCACGGACCTCACCCCAGTTGCTCCGAGCCACCCCCGCCTTGCAGGGCCCCATGTGGTCTCCCACCCTTTTCCTTGCAGATGTGCCGGGCTGGACACCCTGGGCTCCTTGGTCCACCTGCTCCCAGAGCTGCCTATTCCCTGGAGGGGGCCCAGGCCTGCGCAGCCGTTCCCGGCTCTGCCCCGGACCCGGGGACACATCCTGCCCAGGAGAGGCCACCCAGGAGGAGCCCTGCAGCCCCCCTGTGTGCCCAGGTATGGTGCCCTCTGGGGGGGGCCCTCTCGGGTGGGGTGAGGCACAGATGAAGAGAAGGACGCTCTGGGAAGGGTAGGGGCAAACCTGGCTGTTGCCCAGAAGCTTCTCTCTGGCCCCCAGTCATAGCCCCCACCCCCGAACGCCCAGTGGGGGATGCACAGGGTGGGCCTGGACTGAAGGCATGTTGGGGGCAGCCCTGGAGGTGTGGGTGTGGTGGGGGGTGACCCTGCACAGCTCTGGGCCCCCCACGCCCACCTGGCCACCCCCAATCTCTGCCGCGTCCCTGACCATTGTTGACTGTCTCTTCCTCCCAGGGCTGGGTGTCTGGGGTCAGTGGGCCACCTGGTCCACCTGCTCCGCCCCCTGTGATGGGGGCGTCCAAACCCGAGGGCGCAACTGCTCTGCCCCAGCTCCTGGGGACCCTGAGTGCCAGGGACCCCACAGCCAGACCAGGGACTGCAACACACAGCCCTGCACAGGTGAATGTCCCCTTCCTGTTCTCCCACATGCCTCATTCAGCCAGATCCCGGGGAGTTGGGGGCTGACCTTCTCTCCACCCACCTTCACTTGGCACGGACCTCTGCCTCCAGGACAGGCTATGCCTTGAGCTGACTTGGCCCGATTTCTTGTCCCCTCCAGCCCCCAGCTGCCCCCCGTCTCCCCGCCCCACCGCCGGCCTGCCCCCTGCTGAGACCCGCTCTGTCTTCCCCGTGCAGCCCAGTGCCCAGGTGACAAGGTGTTCCGCTCAGCAGAGCAGTGCCGTCGGGAGGGGGGCCCGTGTCCTGGGCTGTGCCTGGCGCGGGGCCCTGGGGTGGAGTGCACCGGCGTTTGCACCGCTGGCTGCGCCTGCCCCGCGGGCCTCTTCCTGCACAACAGCAGCTGCCTGCCTCCAAGTCAGTGCCCCTGCCAGCTGCGTGGGCAGCTCTATGCCCCCGGAGCAGTGGCCCGGCTGGACTCCTGCGGCAACTGGTGGGCATCAGGGTTGGGGAGCGTGGAGGGGGGAGGCTCCTGGCTTCAGAGGTGGGCGGGCCTGGACTCCCACCAGCGGCAGGGGGTCTCAGCATGCCTCCATCCTGAAGTGAAGCCTGGAGGGGCGGGCATCTGTAGGAACTGTCGGGCTCCTTTATTTATGGGGAGACTGAGGCTCAGTTGAGGGAGGCGATTTATGATGGAACTAGAGCCTAGAGTTGTTCCAGGAGTTGGTGATAGACAGGGAGGCCTGGTGTGCTACAGTCCATGGGGTCGCAAAGAATCGCACATGACCGAGTGACTGAGCTGAACTGAGAGCCTAGAGTTAGGGGAGCAGGTCTATGTTCTCCTTCCAGTTACCTCTGTTTCTCTTTCCTGAGTATAATTGACTTCCTGGGACCCACTTGATTTCTGCTCGGAAACCTTGAAGCACCCAACTCACAAAGCTGAGACCAGGAATCCACCAGCAGAGGGGGCACTAACCCCATTCCTTTTTTTGTTATTATTTTTCTTTATTCAGTTCATTTTTTTTCTTCCTTTTTACTTTCTGTGCCCTGGTCCTCCTCCAATTCCCTCCTTCATTCTTCCTCTCTCCCCCGCCCTTTTCTCGTTTTCCTTTTCTCTCTTAGATTTTTTTTTCTGAAATGTCAACATTTCTGACAAGTGGGTTTTAAAACATTTATTGGAGAAAAACAAAAAGGAGGAAAAACTCAAAAGAGAGATCCAGGAGACTCAAGCTAGTATCTGCTCCTTCTGAGTAGCTCCTAACTGGCCCAGAAGAGTCGCTCAAGGCCATCTCTAGAGCGTTTAATAAATATAAATGGAATAAAATTACAAAAAGGAGACTTCTTTTTATCAAGGCGATAAAACCATGGGACAGGCACCCCCACGGTGCCTGGGGGTGTCAGGGAGCTCCTGGAGGGTGGAACCAGGGTGGGGGGCGGGGAGGCCAGGTGAGAATCCTTGGTCACTCACGAACTCCACGTGGGACGTAGGGCAACTTGCTTTACTTCGCAGACCCTCGGGGTTCCTTTTCTGTGCGGTGGACACCGCATCCCGGCCTCTTCCCCTGGGGGCAGGTACACAGGGCGGCAAGGGGAAGGCTGACTGTGGCCTCTCTGGGCCCTCTTTCTGCAGCACCTGTATCTCTGGTGAGATGGTGTGTACCTCGGAGCCCTGCCCAGGTACCCCCATGCTCGGGGCCCAGGAATCGGCAGTGGTGGGGTCTCTGGGATGGTGGTCCCTTCCGTAATCAACCTGGTGGTGTCAGGGGTGCCCCCAGGAAGTTGGGGTCCAGGGACGACTTGACCTGTCTCTCACACCCCGTGCCTTTCCCCTGCACCCGCTTTGGCAGTGGCCTGTGGCTGGAGCCCCTGGACCCCGTGGAGTCTCTGCAGCCGCAGCTGTAATGTGGGCGTTCGGCGGCGCTTCCGGGCGGGCACGGCTCCCCCAGCTGCCTTCGGGGGCGCTGCGTGCCAGGGCCCCAACATGGAAGCCGAATTCTGCAGCCTGCGGCCGTGCGGAGGTGAGAGCCGAGACTGGGGTCCTAAAACCTGGGGACTCCCCACCCTGGACCCCGGGACAGGTGCAAGGGCCTGCCCGAGGAGATGGCTTTCTGTGCGGTGGACACCGCATCCCGGCCTCTTCCCCTGGGGGCAGGTACACAGGGCGGCAAGGGGAAGGCTGACTGTGGCCTCTCTGGGCCCTCTTTCTGCAGCACCTGTATCTCTGGTGAGATGGTGTGTACCTCGGAGCCCTGCCCAGGTACCCCCATGCTCGGGGCCCAGGAATCGGCAGTGGTGGGGTCTCTGGGATGGTGGTCCCTTCAGTAATCAACCTGGTGGTGTCAGGGGTGCCCCCAGGAAGTTGGGGTCCAGGGAGGACTTGACCTGTCTCTCACACCCCGTGCCTTTCCCCTGCACCCGCTTTGGCAGTGGCCTGTGGCTGGAGCCCCTGGACCCCGTGGAGTCTCTGCAGCCGCAGCTGTAATGTGGGCGTTCGGCGGCGCTTCCGGGCGGGCACGGCTCCCCCAGCTGCCTTCGGGGGCGCTACGTGCCAGGGCCCCAACATGGAAGCCGAATTCTGCAGCCTGCGGCCGTGCGGAGGTGAGAGCCGAGACTGGGGTCCTAAAACCTGGGGACTCCCCACCCTGGACCCCGGGACAGGTGCAAGGGCCCGCCCGAGGAGATGGCACGAAGGTGTGGTTCCCGGGGAGCCCTAAGAGGGGTCCCCCCCAGAGGCCCTGTTCCAGGTGGAATCCTAGGGCCTCCCGAGGAGGGGTGAGGTGTCTGGAGGTGGGTGTGAGGCTGCCAGGGCCTGGGATCCGGGGGGTGGAGTGACCGGGGGCCTGGGTGTGACAGGCAGGGCCTGGGTGTGACAGGCAGGGCCTGCAGTGACCTGGGTGTCACCCCAGGTCCTGGTGGGGAGTGGGGCCCCTGGTCTCCGTGCTCTGTGCCCTGTGGGGGCGGCTACCGGAATCGCACCCGAAGGAGTGGCGGGCCCAGCCCCGTGGACTTCTCCACCTGTGGCCTGCAGCCCTGTGCAGGTGAGGGCACCCACCTTCTCCTCCCTACCCCACCCAGAACTCTGCAACCCCTCCCTGTCCCTCCAGGAGCTCCTCTCCTGGAGATCCAGGGCAGCCCCATGACCTCCCTGGCTACACCCGGAGCTGATGCCTCCCCCCTGGGGGGACTCTGGGGGAGAATCGAATGTGCCCGGGCTGAGCTGTCAACCTGTGTCCCTCAGGGCCAGTGCCCGGCGTGTGTCCCCCGGGCAAGCAGTGGCTGGACTGTGCCCAAGGGCCTGCGTCCTGTGCAGAGCTCGGCGCCCCGAGAGGGGCTGACCAGCCCTGCCACCCTGGCTGCTACTGCCCTTCTGGGATGCTTCTGCTGGTGAGAGTCCCCTGCCTGGCCTCAGAGCCAAGAGTGTGGGGTGGGAGACAGGGAGAGCCTGCAGGGTTGAGGACGGAGTGCTGAACTTGGGGCACATGGTTCTGCTCTGCCAGCCCCATGACCAGCACGTGACCCTAGGCGAGCGGCCCTCAGGTCTTTTCCCCCAGAAATCGAGGGTCCACGCCCCCTCCCCATGGCCCTTGCACCCAATGGTGTGCCTTCCCCCAATCCTGAAAATTGGGAAGAAATGGGTGTTTGGAAGCAGCATCCTTGGCATTTGAGGGTGGGTGCCTGCCAGGGGGCTGCTGAGCTCGGCTTTAGGGGAGCGTGTGCAGACCACGCTGGAAACCAGAAGGCAGTGGAGGGTTTTTGATTCCAGAACAACATGTGCGTGCCCACCCGGGACTGCCCCTGCACCCACGGGGGACGCCTCTACCCCCCAGGCAGTGCTGTGCTTCGTCCGTGTGAGAACTGGTGAGGCTGACGCCCCCTGCAATGGCCCCGAGACCCTGAGGACCCTCTGCTCTCCTCTGCAGTGGGGCGCAAGGGGTGTTGGCCCATGGAGGTGCTGTGGCCCTCCCTGCCCTCGCTCCTGCGATGAGACTCCCCCTCCCACAGGCACAGTGTCCAGCTCTCTGGAGCCAAGCCTGCATGTGCCCCTCGCCTGCCCCCTCCTCACCAATCTCCCTGTTCCCACCCATCTCCATCTGCTGGAGCTGTTCCTGGCCCCTCTTGTTTTGCGGAGTTTCTGGCCTCCCCTGGCCTGTGGCTGCATCCCTCCCACATGCGTCACATGGCCATCTCCTCCCTGGATCTTCACATCATCTCTGTCTGCATCTGTGTTCCGACTTCCCCTTTGCAGAACAGCAGTCACATTGGGTTGGCATCACGCTAATGGCCCCATTTTAACTTGATCACCTCGCAAAGACCCCCCCCCCCTCCAAACAAGGCCACAATTCTGCAGTCATGCTCACATGTTAGGGCCCCGACATATGAATTTGAGGGGACACGTTCAGCCTGTAAGAGCATCCCCATCGTCTGCTGCTTCTCCACCAGCTCCTGTGTCTCTGGGCTCATCACTAACTGCACCTCCTGGCCCTGTGAGGAGGGTGAGAAGGGGGCCTCTCCTGACTCTCCCCCCACCCCCCTCAGCCAGAGTGCGTCTGTGCAGGGTGGGAGGGGTGTAGCTCCAGGGAGGAAAGCCCTCGGGAGGGGGCAGCCTGTTCTGTGCACCGCACTCTGTCCCGCTTTGGGCCCGGTCAGCCTCCGCTGTCTTCTCTGCCTCTCCCTGCTGCGCACCCAGGTCAGCCCACGTGGTCACCCTGGACCCCATGGAGTGAGTGCTCGGCCTCTTGTGGCCCAGCCCGGCGCCATAGACACCGCTTCTGCACCGGGCCCCCCGGCGGGGTGCCGTCCAGCGTGGCCCCGCTGCCCCTGCTGGCTTCGGCGCCCCCTCTTTGCCCAGGCCCTGAGGCAGAGGAGGAGCCCTGCCTCCTGCCAGAGTGTGACCGTGAGTCCCGTGGAGCCCAGACGTGCCCGCCGCCTTGCCCCAGCCAAGCCCAGCCCCTCGCCACTGCTTCCTCTTCTGTTCCCCAGGAGCTGGAGGCTGGGGCCCTTGGGGACCCTGGTCCGGCTGTAGCCGGAGCTGTGGTGGGGGTCTCCAGAGCCGGACCCGAGCCTGTGACCAGCCCTCACCCCAGGGCCTGGGGGATTACTGCGAGGGGCCTCGGGCCCAGGGGGCAGCCTGCCAGGCTCTGCCGTGCCCAGGTATCTGCCAGGGACGGCGGTGGGGGTCAAGGAGGAGAGGCGGGAGAGCTGCGGGGGGCATTCTGGAGAGGCGAGCCGGGAGGTGGGGGAGTGGGGGAGTGACCCGCACAGCCGTCTACCCACCCGGGGCCCTCCCTCCCACAGTGACCAACTGCACCGCCATCGACGGGGCGGGGTACAGCGCCTGTGGCCCTCCCTGCCCTCGCTCCTGCGATGACCTCGTGGTGAGTCTGGGCTCCTGACGGTCACGTTGCCGGCCGGCAGGGTGTGGCCCCTCTGACCTGGGGCGGTCCGCGGTTGGAGGGAAGTAAGGAGTCAGCGCCCAGCCGGCCTGGCTCCTGGTTCTAGAGAGCAGCCCTTGTCGTCCTTACACAGCATATACGTTTCTCGGTTGACACGTTTTATGGTAGAAACCGCAGGAACACACAGGAAAAGGGCAGTCGTCTTGACATATCATCCATCCTAAGCCCCGCGCCCGGGCGCGTTGGTGCGCAGACCTTGACCCTGTGCGCGCGTGAGTGCGCACGCGCATGCCGGGGCGCCGGGCCAGTCCAGGACCATGGAGAGGGACCCAGGCCGGCTGCCGCCGGGGGTGGGCGCGGTCCAGTGGCGCCTGCGCAGTGGCGGGGAAGCGGCCCCTAGTCAAGATGCTGGAGCAAACAGCTAGGGCGAAGGGACAGCGCTTTGAGAAGCCCCGCTTGGGTCTGTCCAAGGAGGACGGGAGGCTCCACACGGAGGCGGAGGACCAGGACACGGTGCCTGGTCCCGGCCTCTCCCAGGGAGCCCCGGCGCCTTCCCAAATGCCCGCCGCTCTCGCCAGCTTTCCGGTCCCCGGCTCCCTCCGTTCTAGGAGATCTGCCTTGGTCCCCACTCAACCCTCCACGGGGCCCAACGTCTGGAGGATACTCCATTCAGGGAAGCTCCTCGCAGGCTGTCCCTTCCCCATGCTCCTCCCCTGGAGGAGAAACTCCAATGGAAACTTGGCATAAACTGTTTAAGAAAGACAGCTATGAACTGGAGCATCGCACTTCCTCCCCTCTGCCTCCTGCAGCCTCCTTCTTCACTTCATCGTGGTTCCCAGGCGCCCCCCTCCATCCCGCAGCAGTCCCCTTGGCCCCCCCGCTTTCCACTGACCCAGGCCCTCCCTTCCTTGTCCCCCAGCACTGCGTTTGGCGCTGCCAGCCCGGCTGTTACTGCCCCCCAGGCCAGGTGCTGAGTGCTGACGGCACCGTCTGCGTGCAGCCCGCTCACTGCAGCTGCCTGGACCTGCTAACTGGGGAGCGGCACCGTCCAGGCGCCCAGCTGGCCAAGGCTGATGGCTGCAACTACTGGTGAGGGCCGGGGTGTGGAGGGCACGGCGCCAGTGAGCTGCCCTCTCTCTGCGCCTGCGTGCCCTGCCCAGCACCTGCTCCGAGGGCCAGCTCACCTGCACAGACCTGCCTTGCCCAGGTATGTATCCTGCTCAGAACAAGGTGAGGAGAAGCGGTCCGGGGGTGCAGGGAGGCTGGGACCAGGGGAGGGGTGGCTGCACCCCAGGGCTCACCATTCACTCCCACAGTGCCTGGCGCCTGGTGCCCGTGGTCGGAGTGGACAGCGTGCTCGCAGCCCTGCCGGGCCCAGACGAGGACCCGCTCCAGGGCCTGCAGCTGCCCGGCACCGCAGCATGGCGGGGCCCCGTGCCTCGGGGAGGCGGGGGCCCAGCATCAGAGGGAGACCTGCGCCAGCCCCCCCGAGTGCCCAGGTGAGACGCCCCACTGGGCAGCTCCAGTCCCAGCGGGCTGGGACCTCTCGGGCCTCCCAAGGCAAATGGATGCTTTTGTATTCCTGCTGCAGTGGATGGAGCCTGGAGCCTGTGGGGACCGTGGTCTCCCTGTGACGTGTGCCTGGGGCAGTCCCATCGCAGCCGAGCATGTAGCTGGCCCCCCACCTCCGAGGGAGGCCGGCCCTGCCCTGGGGCCCACAGGCAGAGTCGCCCCTGCCAGGGCAATTCCACTCAGTGCACGGGTGAGGACTTCTGTGGAGATGGCGGCTGGTGGTGGTGGCTTGTAAGGCTAGGGAGATGCTTTCTCTGACTTTTGACCCCCTGCATCTCACCACCCCCCCACTGCGTACACACATGCATACCACTTTCTTTGAGGAGAGCCCTTAGGGCACTCACCTCGTGGAACTGGGCAAGTGAAGGTCCTGGCAGGTGGTGGGCATGGTGGGAGGGCTGGTCACCCAACTCTTGGGACATCTCCCCAGGATGGACTCCCCACCCAAACCCACCCTCTCTGCTTCCCTCCTGCTGCAGACTGTGCAGGTGGCCAGGGTCTTCTCCCCTGTGGGCAGCCCTGCCCCCGCTCCTGCGAGGACCTGTCCCCCGGGGTCATGTGCCAGCCAGACTCGATGGGCTGCCAGCAGCCCAGCTGTGGGTGCCCCCCAGGCCAGCTGTCCCAGGACGGCCTTTGTGTGGCCCCTGCCCAGTGCCGCTGCCAGTACCAGCCTGGAGCCATGGGTCAGTGCCTCCCCCAACCCGCCCCCGAGCACAGCAGCACCCTCCCACCCGGCCCCTGCCACCCTGCCCACAGGGGCCAGCCTGGGACTGCAGGACAGGAATGGGCAACTCCTGCATCCCTGGGCTGGTGCCCGTTGGGGCTTCTGTGTCCTCCGCCCACCAGGACCCCTGTCCCCGTGGGTGGAGACAGCAGGGTAGAGCCCTGAGCAGGGGTTGGTGATGGCTGAGCCGTCTGAAGCGCCCGCCCCCCTCTTGTGCCCTTAGGGATCCCTGAGAACCAGAGCCACACCGTGGGGTCTGGGCTCAGCTCCTGGGAGAGCCTGGAGCCTGGTGAGGTGGTGACGGGGCCTTGTGACAACTGGTGAGCCAAGAGTGCCATGGAGGCATGGGCTGTCAGCTGGGCAGAAGGGCCCCGGGGGAAGCAGGCAGGGCCCTGTCTTCTAACACCCCCACCCTTGTCCCCAGCACCTGTGTGGCAGGCATCCTGCAGTGCCAGGAGGTGCCCGCCTGCCCCGGGCCAGGGCTGTGGGGCTCCTGGGGCCCCTGGGAGGACTGCAGCGTCTCCTGTGGTGGAGGGGAGCAGCTGCGCTCCCGCCGCTGCCCGCGGCCCCCCTGCCCGGGGCCTGCCCGCCAGAGCCGTACCTGCCGCACTCAGGTCTGCAGAGGTGAGCCCCGGCCCAGGCTCTGTCCGACTTCGCTCCCGATCCCCATCCTGGCCTTTGACCCTGACTTGCAGGTTGCCTTTTGACCTCTCCTGCCCCATCGCCATATGCCGCCCCTCACCCAGGCCCGTGGTGGGCAAATGGAGGAGGAAGCAGGCAGATTTGGGGGGCAGGGGAGACTGTAGGAGTGGGCGTGACCGAGGGCCCGGCCCAGGGAGGGTGTGGTCCTCACGACTCCAGAGGGACCCTGGAGGGGATGGGCATTGGGGTGAGCGGAGATGGGCACAGCAGACTGCAAGGGTGGTGTGGCACGGGTGCTCACTTGGGGGTCCTCTTCAGAGGCAGGCTGTCCGGCCGGGCGTCTGTACCGTGAATGCCAGCCGAGCGAGGGGTGCCCCTTCTCATGCGCCCACATCACCGGGTTGGTGGGCTGCTTCTCTGCTGGATGTGAGGAGGGCTGTCACTGCCCTGAGGGCACCTTCCTGCACCACTCGGCCTGTATCCAGGTTAGGACTCCCCCTGCCAGCAGCCCAGGGCCCTCCCCTCACCTGTCAGCTCTCACCTCTGCAGACCCCGTGGCCTCTGGATGGCCTCTAAGTGTCCTGACTTAGAGTTGGTGGCCCTGAGCCCCCGGGCAGGGGAAGGGACAGTTCCCAGTAGAGCTAGACTCAAACGCAGGTGTCCCCGTTCCTGCCTCAGGCCCTTTCTGCCTCCCTCACTCCCCTCTCACATGTCCCATCCTGTAATGACCTCTGTTGACCCTGCCGTGTCCTGGCTAAGTGCTCTGATCAGGAAGGTGCCTGGCCAGCTCTGGTCAAGACATAGCCTTACATGGCTCGTGGTCAGCCCCGTGACGCAGGTACACAGTCCCACTTGCTATTGGAAGTGCAGTCTCAGGGCCCAGAGCTGTCCAGAGTATCCTTCCCACCTGTCTCCTTCGCCCCACCCTGCTTCTGAGGATGTACATGGGGGCGGGGGTGGGGACAGAGGACTGGCCCCCAGCAGGTGGCTCCAGCCCGTGTCTCTGCACTTTTCCCCCACCCCAGGAGTGCCCCTGTGTGCTCACTGCCTTGCGGCTGCAGCAGCTAAAAGCTACTGGCACTGACCCAGGGGCTCACCTGTCTCTTCTGGGAGAGGATGGTCAGCCTCTTGGGCCTGGCGATGAGTTGGGCTCGGGTCAGAGCCTCCGTACAGGCTGCCACAACTGGTGAGGGTGTGGGAGATTTGGGGTGCGGGGAATTTGAGGGTTGGAGGGTGAGAGGATGTGTCGGGGAGGCCTGGGTGGGCCTGGGTGGCCCTGCACCCCTTCCCCCACCTGTTGCAGCCACTTGACCCCTGGCTCACCCTGGCTCTGTCTCCTCGCCCTTGGGGGCTGATGTGTCTGCCCGCACCCCTTTCTCTTGGGATCTGAGCTGCCGGCCCCTCATCCTCACACCCTCTTTCCAGCTCCTGTGCACACGGGAAGCTGTCCTGCTCCGTGGGGGACTGCTCCAAGGCTGCTGGTGGCTTTGGTCCCTGGGGTCCATGGGGCTCCTGCTCCCGCTCCTGTGGCGGGCTGGGCACCCGCACCCGCAGCCGCCAGTGTATGCACCCCACACCCACTCCCAGTGGCCAGGGCTGCCGCGGGCCGCGCTGGGACCTCGAGTACTGCCCCAGCCCGGAGTGCCCAGGTGAGGGAAGGGGGGCGGGGTGGGAGGCGTCTGGCTGACCCTTTGTTCCTTCCTGTCTGTCCATCCCTGTTCCCACTCTGGGTCTGGCTCAGTGTTTCTCTTCTGTTCAGACACATTCAACCAAATTTCTGGAACTCTTGCCAAATGTGTGTTGGGGGTTGGCTGGGGGTGTGAGGACCCTGACCTTGGAGTCCAGGGGCTCAGATAACCCATTTCAGCATGGTGGGGGGGCCCTGTAGGAGAGTGCATGTGCTTGGGAAAATGGGGGAGGTTGAGAATTCTCCTAGGGGGACAGTCTAGGAGGGCTTCCTGGAGGAGGTGGCATCTGAGGGGGTCTGAGGGATGGAGAGGACTCTGATGAGCGTTGGAGGAAGAGATGCCAGGAATCAGGCACGGCCTGAGCAGAGGCCTTGCTACCGTGAGCAAGTGCTGTGCTTGGGTCCTGGGGTGTCTGGGCTGAACCAGACAGTAACAGGTTTGGGGAACTTGACCACCGGCCCTGGGGCTTGGGCCTCGTGTACTTCTGTCTGGGAAACATTTCTGAGCACAGGGGCTGTTTCCTTTGGCACAGGGGCTGCAGGGTCCACAGTGGAGCCAGCGACAGGCCTTCCAGGTATCAGACTCTCCAGACTCCCACCCTGATTCCCTGCACCCCTCCCTCTGGGAAGAGCAAGCCCCAGGCCTCCTCCCTCCCCAGCCCTGCTTCTGGGAGCCCAGGAGCCCAGGGCTAACTCCTCGGGGGTCTCCTCTCCCCACCCAAGGTGGCTGGGGCCTGTGGTCCCCATGGTCCCCCTGCTCCGGCACCTGCACAGACCCGGCTCACCCTGCTTGGCGCAGCCGCAGCCGCCTCTGCCTGGTGAACTGCACTGGGGGTGACGCTTCCCAGGAGCGCCCCTGCAACTTGCCCTCCTGCACAGGTGTGCCTTCTGGTCCTGACCTCTGGCTCTGCCCTGGGTCTGGATCCTGAGCCTCCCCTCTAATGCATCATTTCAACCCCAGCCAGTGTCCAGCCCCAAGCCCCACATCTAATACTCCTTGTGCCAATAGGGAGTTCTCAACCTAACTCTGGGCGTTCTCTGTGAACCCCAACAGCTGTTGGGGAGTGCTGCCACCTTCCAGCCATTCTCACTCATGTGGGTACCAAACACTCCCCCCCACAAAAAGGTCCCATCCAAATCCCTTAGCCGCCCTGGGAGTCTGGGACTACTGTCTCCCCCCTCTCCACCACTGTTAGCCTGAGAGAGGGGAAACTGAGGCCTGGTTGCCAAAGCCACACAACTGTCAGGATCAGATCTGAAAGGGGGGCAGGATGGGGCATAGCCAGCCCCGGCCGAGGAGGTCGGCACTTGAGCTGGGGCAGGGAGGCTGGGGGTCAGGGGACTGGCTGCAGCTCAGCGTCGTCCTATCCCGCTCGCAGAGCTGCCCCTGTGCCCGGGCGCCGGCTGCATGCCCGGGAACTGTTCCTGGACCGCCTGGGCCCCATGGGAGCCATGCTCCCGCAGCTGTGGGGCAGGCCAGCAGCGCCGCCTGCGGGCCTACCACCCCCCAGGGCCTGGCGGACACTGGTGCCCCGACGTGCTTACAGCCTACCAGGAACGCCGCTTCTGCAACCTGCGAGCTTGCCCAGGTGCAGTGGGTGGTGAGCGCCCGGCGGGACTGCCCTTCCTTAGCATCAGTGCCCCGCCCCACCCCGGGCCCTTCCATCTCCAGCGTGGGACCTCGCCCTGGGCTCGGGGGACACGTGGGTGTCCCTGCCTGAGCCAGACCCCTCGTGCGGCCCTTCTCTTCCCCATTCAGTGCCTGGAGGCTGGTCACGCTGGAGTCCCTGGTCCTGGTGCGACCGGAGCTGCGGAGGGGGCCGGTCCCTGAGGAGCCGCAGCTGCTCGAGCCCCCCACCCAAGAACGGGGGTGCCCCCTGTGTTGGGGAGAGGCACCACGCACGGCTCTGCAATCCTGCGCCCTGTGGTATGGAGTGGTGCCAGCCCTCCTGCCCTTGCTTCCTGCGAAGCTCTCCCCACCCCTCTCCTCTAATTTCACCCCCACATCACTGTGCAATGTGGACTGGGGGGGTGGGAGGCTGCTGCCTCGTCGGCCAGTGAAGAAAACCAAGCCCCAAGAGGGCAGATGGTGGTGGGGGTCTGGGCTTTGGTCAAGGACTCCCAGTGGCCAGGGCTGAGCTGCCTGATCCGTCCACTGCCCACCCCTACCCGGGACTAGAACTCATCCTCTCAGCTGTGACCCCCTGCTTCAGTTCCTGGAACCACTCGGTCAAGAGTTTCAGGGGGTTTGAGGGTAACAGTCTTGAGATACCTGGTGTGTGGGAGGTGCACTGAGCCAGCCAGGTTGTCACCCCCCCACACACACTGACGACCCCCCATCCCTTCCATCCTTCTCTGGATGAACACAGAGGAGACACATAGGTGAGAATGCTGGCTTTTAGACGTACCCATTCAGTCCAGTTCAGCAAACACTTATCGGGAGCAGGCTAGGCATTGGGCACTCACAGTGAGAGGAACTGTCTGTCACTCAGAGTGTCCCCAGGACCCCCAGGGTCTCCACAGGAGCCCAGGTCTCCCTGGGCACCAGCCTGGGGGAGGGACTGCCCTGTCTCCTGCGGAGGCGGAAACCAGGTCCGCACCCGGGTCTGCGTGGCCTCAGCCCCTCCCCTCGGGGGCTCCCCCTGCCTGGGCCCCGACGCCCAGAGCCAGCACTGCGGGCAGCAGCCTTGCCTGACATTGCCGGACGCCTGCTCCTGGGGCCCCTGGGGGCCATGCTCCCGCAGCTGCGGCCCGGGTCTGGCCTCCCGCTCTGTGTCCTGCCCCTGCCCGCTGGCCGAGGCCGACCCCACCTGCAACGGCACCTCCCCACGCCTGGACACCCAGGCCTGCTACGCAGGGCCCTGCCTGGGTGAGTGTGCATCAGAAGCAAAGCCCCCTTCTCTGTCTCCTACCTGCGCAAGATCCAGGGAATGTTTATTATCATAACCAACTTCCAGATTATCTCCCCAAAACATACATCTGTCTGTCTCCTCCCAAGGGATTCCCAGGTGGCTCAGCGTTAAAGAATCCACCTGCCAGTTCAGGAGCCACAGGGAATCTGGGTTCAATCCCTGGGTTGGGAAGACCCCCAGGAGGAGGGCATGGCAACCCATTCCAGTGTTCTTGCCTGGAGAATCCCTGTGGGAGCTTCCCAGACCAGGAATCGAACTTGTTTCTCCTGCATTGGCGGGTGGATTCTCTACCACTGAGCTACCAGGGAAGCCCCCCAGCTGCGGCTTTGTGTCCACTGGTAGCTGCCCCAGGCATGGTGGGTCTTTACCCACATCCTACTCCAGCTGCCTTCCGTCTCCACCCCTCTGCATCACACTTGCCAATCCCTGGAGCTACCTGCCAGGGCCTGAACCCTCTGTAGCTCGCTGCTCTCCTGGGTCCAAACAGCCCTCACCCATCCCTGGAGGTGCCTACAGGGACTGAGTGGGCATGGATGGGGCAACACTGGTCTTTTCTTACCTAGAGCAGGGGGGCAGTATCTTGCACTCTTACTGGGTGACCTCAAGGGGAGGTGATGGGACCATGCACTGTGCCCTCTGGGTTTGGGGGGCAGAGGGTGTCTCTGGGCTGCACCCCCCACCAGCCTGCCTGCCTCTCCCTGCAGAGGACAGCTGCATGCCTCCCTTCGAGTTCCAGGCCTGTGGCTCCCCCTGCACTGGACTCTGTGCCACATACCTGAGCCCTCAGCTCTGCCAGGACCTGCCGCCCTGTCAGCCTGGCTGCTACTGCCCTGAGGTGAAGGGTGGAGCCAGGGCAGATGCCCCAGGAGAAGGGGTCCCTTGTCCACTCTCCCGCACCTCCTCCCCTCCTCTCCAAACCTCTCGTCTGGACAGCGCTTCACATTCTGCCAGGCGGCTCTTTGCCCGCACCTTTGACTCAACAGCATGCATGGCACCTGCTGGGGGCTGGGCATGGGTGGGCATTAGGGTGACGACAAGATGACTGCCACACAGCCCTGTCCCCTGTCCCCTTCTGCACAGGGGCTGCTGGAGCAGGCTGGAGGCTGCGTACCTCCAGAACAGTGTAACTGCCAGCACGTCTCAGAAGGAACTGGGGTGACCCTGGCCCCCGGGGACCGCCTGCAGCTAGGCTGCAAAGAGTGGTGAGTGTTGGGGGTGAGGGAGGCACCTGAGGCCTGGGACCGGGGAGGAGGATGGGTTCCGCAGGGCGGCCTGACCCCCACAGAGAAGGCCAAGCAAAGCCCAAGGTCCCAGCCTCCCCCTGCTCCAAATGAGGCCAGAGCCCAGGTTACCCCTACATGAGCCCCCCACCCACCAACCCACCATTCTGGGCTGGGTCCTGCCTCCCGGAGCCCACCCTGACCACCCCCTCCCACAGTGAATGCCAGCGCGGGGAGCTACAGTGCACCAGCCAAGGCTGTCAAGGTAACTGGACAGAGGAGACCAGCTGTCCCTCTTTTTCTAGGACTTGGATAGAGGGCTGGATTTCTGCCCAGGTCTTGGGTGGGGGTGGGTTTTTGCCCAGGACTGAGTGGGGGGTGGGTTTCCAGGACTTGAAACTTTCAATTCTAGGACTGGGACAGTCCCAGACAAACCAGGATGGCTGGTCCCCTTACTCCAGTTCTTCTGTTTCCAGAACATTCTGGTCACAGCACGAGCCCCTTGTTCCCGATCCACTGTGGTCTCTGGGTCTGGGGGAGGGTCCCTGGGAAGGANTCTGGGAGGGGGCGGGGCCTGGTCTAGTAGGGGTGGGTTCCGCTATTCCTGTCTGTTCGCCGTGGCCCTTAGCTGGCTGGCTCACCCTCCTGCTAGTTTCCAGGGTCTGCTGGATTTGAGGTTGGGAGGGGGCAGCAGCAGCTGGAAGAGGAGATAGGGGGCTCAGGGCTGCAGAGGGAGGCAGGCGGAGAGGGGTGGGCCTGGGCACTGACTCCCATTTTCTCTCCCCAGACTTATGTCAGTGGGGTCCCTGGGGGGCCTGGAGCCCCTGCCAGGTGCCCTGCAGCGGGGGATTCCGGCTGCGTTGGAGAGAGGCCGGGAGCCCCCCTGGAGGAGGCTGCCGGGGGCCATGGGCTCAGACTGAGAGCTGTAACATGGGGCCTTGCCCAGGTAATGGCTCCAGCATTGAAGGAGGGGCCGAGGATGTGGCCCCTGGGGTGTGTGGGGGTTCTGCTTCCTCAGTCCCTGGAGGTGCCCGTGGAAGGCTGGGGACTCGAGAACACCCCAGGTTGGACTCTGATCTTCTGGTCCGCAGGAGAGAGCTGTGAGGCCCAGGACACCGTGCTTACCCCTGACTGTGCCAACCAGTGCCCGAGGAGCTGTGCCGACCTCTGGGACCGCGTGGAGTGTCTGCAAGGACCCTGCCGCCCAGGTGGCCAGGCCATGCCCACTGCCTGGCCCGGGAACTCTAGGGAAGCCCACTGCCTCCTGCTGCCCGAGAGCTTGTGACCGGAGGCAGGCAGATGGCTGGGTCATGAGTTACAGGGCAGCAGAGTGGACCCCTGGGTCACTTTTGGCGACCAGCTGGGGGTCCTGCCTGAGTGAGCCTTGGTCAAGATGGGCTGTGTCCTGGGGGTGCTCTGGGGCAGCCTCAGAGGTCCCTGGGGGGGGGTCTCCACGCACGGGGCAGCCTAGAGAGGCCCGATCCTGTGGGAGGGGCAGGAGGAAGGGCACGCCAAGGCTGCCCCAGGCCCTGGAATCCCTCTGGCTAGGAGAGGGCTCCCTGCGTGTGCCTGCCACATCCTGCTTGTCCCCCCACCCCCTCTCCCAGGCTGCCGCTGTCCCCCCGGCCAGCTGGTACAGGACGGGCACTGTGTGCCCGTGTCTTCTTGCCGCTGCGGCCTCCCCAGCCCCAATGCTTCCTGGGCGCTGGCCCCAGCCGAGGTGGTGCAGCTGGACTGCAGAAACTGGTATGACTGCCCACCGATGACCACACAGGGGGACGGGGAGCTTTGGGTGGGAGGCTCGGGCCAGCTCAGGGTTATGGGGCATTGTTGGGGAGCAAAGGCTGTTCACCCTGACTCTCGGGGCTCTGAGCCCTTTCTGCACACCTCTGCCCCCAGCACCTGTGTCAACGGGTCCCTGGCGTGCCCCTCCCACGAGTGCCCAGCCCTCGGGCCCTGGTCAGCCTGGAGCAGTTGCTCTGCTCCCTGTGGTGGGGGCACCACGGAGCGACATCGGAGCTGCAAGGAGGGCCCCCAGGGGGCACCGTGCCAGACCCAGGACACAGAGCAACGGCAGGACTGTAACCTGCAGCCCTGCCCTGGTGAGTGCCCAGGGCGGGGCCCGTCCTGAGGACCCCCCTGGGACTCTGCCTCACTCTCTGCTTCCCCCCCACCCCCAGAGTGCCCACCCGGCCAGGTCCTCAGTGCCTGCGCTGTCTCGTGCCCACGCCTCTGTGCGCATCTGCAGCCTGGCACCCCCTGCGTGCAGGAACCCTGCCAGCTTGGCTGTGACTGCCCCGGAGGGCAGGTGGGTTGGGGCGCTGTGCCCTGACTCCCCAGTGGGGGAACCAGGCCGGTGGGGGGGCAGGAGTGGTGGTTGCGTGTAACCCGAGCCTGTCCCGCCTCAGCTGCTGCACAATGGCACGTGTGTGCCCCCTGCCGAGTGCCCCTGCAGCCAGCTCTCTCTGCCCTGGGGCCTCACCTTGACTCTTCAGGAGCAGGCCCACGAGCTGCCCCCAGGGACTCTGCTCACCCAGAACTGCACCCACTGGTGAGGGCCGGGAGTGTGGGTGGGGAGGGCATGGGGGTGGGGTGCTGAGAATGGGGATGGGGAGGAGGGCATGGCGGGCATCTGAAGAGAGCATTTGTCTTCCCAGCGTCTGCCAAGGTGGAGCCTTCAGCTGCTCCCTCGCTGACTGTCAGGGTGAGATGCAGGCTGCCCAGGCCCCTGCTGGTCCCTCCAAAGGCAAGGCCAGGCTGCCCTAATGAGGGGAGAGGGGCCTGTGCTACCCCCAGCCACCAAGCTGGGCCCCACTACTATATGGGAGGGTGGATAGGAGCAGAGAGGTGGGTTTGGAGACCCAGATGTCTGGAGGCTGCTGGAGCCGGGTGGGCGGTGCTGAGGAGTGGGGAGGGACCTGGGGTGCCCAGTGTGGGAAGGGGGGAGTGGAGGCTGGATCCAGGGCTGACCTGAGTGGTGGGATGGGTGGTCTTCCCTAGCAGAGTGCCCCCCCGGAGAAACGTGGCAGCAGGCAGCCCCCGGGGAGCTGGGGCCCTGCGAGCAGACATGCCGGGAACCCAACGCCACAGAGACCCAGGGCAACTGCAGTGGGAGGCAGGCCCCGGGCTGTGTGTGCCAGCGCGGGCACTTCCGCAGCCAGGAGGGTCCCTGCGTGCCCGCGGACCTCTGCGAGTGCTGGCGCCATGGGCGCCCCCACCCGGTGAGCCACCGTGGCCCTCAGTGCCCCCGGCCCTTCCTGGCCCAGGGCTCTGGACCACTGGTTTGTCCCTGGCTCATGCCCCTGTACCCAGACCTGCAGCAGCAGGCAGCTTGGCCAGCGGCTGGCACACTTGGACCGTCTCTGGCCCCCAGGGACCCACCTCCCTCCCGAAACTCTTGCTGCCGACGCTGGTCTCGGGCCACTGCCCTGGCCGGGCCCCTGGGTGGGCTTGGGGTGGGGGGACTGGGTAACAGAAGAGTCTGTGGAAGGGAGGGAGGCATGGAGAGCAGGTTCTGCCCCCCTCTCCCCAGCCGGGATCTGAATGGCAGGAGGCCTGTGAGAGCTGCCGCTGTGTCAGCGGGGAGAGTATCTGCACCCAGCACTGCCCCCCGCTCACCTGTGCCCAGGTACCCACCTGAGCCCCGCGGCCCCGGGCTCCTTCCTGGGTCCCTCCCCAAAGGGTGGTCTTGGGGCCTCAAGCAGGCAGTGTGGGGCTCTGGGCCTTCCTCCTGAGCGGACTGGGGGGCCCCTCCTCCCTCTGCAGGGCGAGGTGGCCGTGCAGGAGCCCGGGACCTGCTGTCCCACTTGCCGCCAGGAGGCTCCAGGTATGCGAGGATGGGGGGGGGCGGGGGGCACCTCCTGCCTGCTCTGGGCCCTTCTCCCACCCCCACCCCCCACCCTGGGGAGGCCGCCTTTCCTTGTCCTGCCCACCACACAGATTAGCAGAGTGAAGACTCCCCGGTACTGTGTCCTAATACCTGGCCACCCCCACCCAACCTGCCCTGCTTGGGTCCATGCTGTGTTGCCTCATGGAGTCCCCTCATCACGGTCCGCTCCCTGTCCTGCCCCTCCCTACAGAGGAACAGCCCGTCTCCTGCCGGCACCTCACGGAGCTTCGCAACCTCACCAAGGGTGCCTGCTACTTGGAGCAGGTGGAAGTGAGCTATTGCAGTGGGCACTGCCCATCCAGCACCAATGTCCTGCCTGAGGTGAGCATGGGGTCCCACCCAACCTGCCCTGCTTGGGTCCATGCTGTGTTGCCTCATGGAGTCCCCTCATCACGGTCCGCTCCCTGTCCTGCCCCTCCCTACAGAGGACCTTTCCTTGTCCTGCCCACCACACAGATTAGCAGAGTGAAGACCCCCCGGTACTGTGTCCTAATACCTGGCCACCCCCACCCAACCTGCCCTGCTCGGGTCCACGCTGTGTTGCCTCATGGAGTCCCCTCATCATGGTCCGCTCCCTGTCCTGCCCCTCCCCACAGAGGAACAGCCCGTCTCCTGCCGGCACCTCATGGAGCTTCGCAACCTCACCAAGGGTGCCTGCTACTTGGAGCAGGTGGAAGTGAGCTACTGCAGCGGGCACTGCCCATCCAGCACCAATGTCCTGCCTGAGGTGAGCATGGGGCGGGGGGCCTGCTGGTTCAGGGGAGGCAGCTCAATCAGCAGACCCCCAGGGCCTGCGGCTGTGAGCCTAGCACCCAGGCAGAGCCCAGGGGACACGAGCAGCAGAGTCATCTTGCAAGCCTACAGCTGATCGGAGCCAGGTGGCCTGGCGACCTCAGTGGGGCTTGGGCTCCGGAGCCGGCTGCCTGCCTCCTGCCCCTCCTGGGGGTTTTGTCCCGCTCCTCCCTACTGTGGCCCCGCACAGCTCCTGGCGCCTGCTTCTCAGCCCACTGTGCCCCTCAAGACAGGCCAGCCAGGACAACAGAGAAAGTCAGGGAGGAGCTGAGTTAACCTGTGATACAGTGAGCGAAGGCTGAAGGGCAGATGTTATCTATGGTGGTCTTGTCCTGGACGTTGCCCGGAAGATTGAGACAGAGCTCCGCTCTGTGCCCACCCTCCTGCTGCCTATATCCTCAGGAGCCCTGTGTCATCCTGACTCCCCCAGCCCTGAGCCTGGAGAGCTGTGGCTCCCACCTGGCCAATGTCTAGCCAGAGTGGAGCCTCACTTGGCTCCTGGCCCTGCCTCAGCCCACCTGGCCAAAGTCACCTATTCCTGGAAGACAAAGGTGCTTTCCCACCTGGTCCTCATCCCTTGCCACTCTCCTGCTCCCCTGGGCACTCCTGGAACCTTCTGGAAATGCCTCTCAAGTCACTTTTGGATTTTTTTTTTTTTAAACACAGAGCGAGGAGAGGACAGTTAATACATTTTTTTTTCTGGGGAGGAAAAAGTTAGTGACAGTGGGATAGAATCAGAGGGAGATTTTTTTTCTTTTGTAGATCTCTAACTTGGTATTGTGTGAATAAAGTTAGAATTACACATAAAATTAAATCAAACGTCCAGTAGGACTCACAGAGTTACTGTATAATCATAAAGCAAGAGTGTCTGCTTTGGAGTGAGAACTCACTTTGCACTTAGGATCGGACTGTGCAGTTGAGAACTTCATTATTTGTAGGTTCAAAAATTACTACTCTGTCTCTTCAACTAGACTTAGAAGTAGACCCGTGTCTTTCCCCCCTGCTGCCAGGATGCAGTGATGAGCGTGTTATAAAGCTCTCGTTTAGCCTGCAGGTTGTTGGATGCTCAGATGCGTGGGGCCTGGAATGGAGGAGGTGGGCTTCTTGGAGAACTGGGGGCTTGGTGGTGACACGCCTCCACCTTCGGGGGCGGGGCCGGGGCTGAGGCCGGGATTGGGGATCACCTGAGGCCAGGAGCGGGCCAGGCCGGGCGCGTTACCCGACGGCTCCTCGCGGGAATTTCCTCCTCCGAGTCCTTCTGCTCTGCTGCATGTTCCTTCTTAGCATTCTTGTTGGTTTGTTCTCCAATCACACTTAAGCCCAGGTGTTCGGGGTCAGACATACAGGTTCGAATCCCAGCTCATCCATTTCCTTCCTCGCTGAGCTTCCATCTCATCTTTACCACCGGGGTGACATCCGCACAGGCTTGTTGGGAGGACTTGGTGAGAGGCTGTACGCGAAGTGCCAGGTTCTCTATAAACACCTGGTACACGTTAACCCGAGGCCACCACACAGTGTGACGGATGAGAAAGAGATGGAAGGGTGCTGACACCGACTGGGTGGAGCGCAGGGCAGAAGCTCGCCTTGACTGCAGTCTTCCTCCTGGCGGCTGTCCCTTCCTCTTCTGCCAGTTTGCTCAGCACCCTCCCTCTCTTCAGCCCCATCCCTTCCCGACCAATCACCCTGCCTTTTTTTGATAGTGCATCTCCCTCTTATTTGTCCTCCAGGAGGTGATTTCTCAGAGCGCTGACGGCTCCGCCGGATGAGGTCTGCCCTGGCCGTCAAGACCCCTCCTCCCATGCCCCCCCCCATCCCTGCTCTAGTTCTAGCATATTCCAAATAAAGTGATATTGGCAGCAAGCCCGTGTACAGAGTCTGCATCCCAGGATTCAGAGGAGAGGGGAGCTGGGCTGGGGGATGTGGGGGTGGGAGGGTGGGTTCTGAGCCCTGGCCTGGACCTTCACAAGGACTGTCACCTGGGAAACCTCTGCAAATAGCTCATGCTAGTGAACTTGGGCAAGTCACTTCCCGTATCTGAGCCTCAGATTCCTCATGTTTAAAGTTTGGATGTAAAGTCTTAAGATCTCTGGTACAAGACATCTCTAGGGCCCCAGGTCCCATCCCTCACCCCACCTGATGGCAGCTGCAGTTCTGGCAGGCATTTCCATGCAAGATACACTCATCTCATGCTGAGGTCTGCTTCTCCTCTTCCTTCTGAAAAGTTTTATTGAGATATAATTTAGATCCTATGAAATTCACCCTATTTTGAGTTACACTTTGATGACTTGTGGAAAACACACAAAGTTTTATAAAAGTTGACTTTTATAGAAAACACACACAAACATCACCACAGGCTAGTTTTAGAACATTTGCATCATTTCAAGCCAATTTACGATACATTCTTCCACCTCCAGGCCCAGGTAATCAATCACTAAATTGTTTTATACCTTAGTAGATGTGCCTTTGGGTCCATCTAGTCAAAGCTATGGTTTTTACAGCAGTTGTGTATGGATGCGAGAGTTGGACTATAAAGAAAGCTAAGCTCCAAAGAATTGGTGCTTTTGAAATGTGGTGTTGGAGAAGACTCTTGAGAGTCCCTTGGACTGCAAGAAAATCAAACCAGTCCATCCTAAAGGAAATCAGTCCTGAATATTCACTGGAAGGACTGATGCTGAAGCTGAAACTCCAATACTTTGGCCACCTGATGCGAAGAACTGACTCATTGGAAAAGACCCTGATGCTGGGAAAAATTGAAGGTGGGAGGAGAAGGGGCCAACAGGATGAGAGAGTTGAATGGCACCACTGACTTGATGGACATGAGTTTGAGCAAGCTCCAGGAGTTGGTGATGGACAGGGAAGCCTGGCCTGCTGTAGTCCATGGGGTTGCAAATAGTTGGACACGACTGAGTGACTGAACTGAACTGAGATGTGCCTGTTCTGGACACTTCATATAAATGTCTGGCTCCTTTGTATTAGCATGATGATCTTGGGATTCATCTGTCAACCAAAATAAATAATGCAGGAGGTTGCAAATAAATTTATTGGGAAACTTAAGAATTACAATTCAGGAGACATGGATACGGGTAACCCTGAAGGAGTGTTCTGGGGAAGAGAAAGACTTGGGGGCTAATAAAAACAGAGCCACGAGGTTGTTTAAAGTTGCCTGGAGAGAGTGGATTGAATCAGATGTGAGTCAGAAAATAGTTGTTGATGAGGAATCAGGTGGTGCTAGTGGTGAAGAATCCGCCTGCAAATGCAGGAGACGAAAGAGACGAGGGTTCAATCCCTAGGTCAGTAAGATCCCCTGCAGTTAGAAGTGGCAACCCACTGCAGTATTCTTAGCTGGAAAATTCCATGGACAGAGGAGACTGGTGGGCTACAGATGGGGTTGAAAAAGAGTCAGACATGATTGAGCACACTACTAACACTAAGAATCAGGAGTCGTTTTAAAGAAGGCCTGTCAATTGAAGAAAAACACACCACCTAAAAATTGCCTGTTTTATTTGAAGCCCTTACTGAGGACTATGTTCTGGGAGACAGCCTCTCAGACAGCTCTGAGGAACTGTTCCAAGAGACAGTGGAGGAATTAGAATATATAGATTTTTCTGCGGAAAAAAAATGTAGTTGAACATCAATCGATTATTGCTAATCACAAAATACTGACATCTCCAGTTAATGATTATAGTGCTTTTCTATGTATGGGAAGATGCAAGAGTCTGGGTTCATTGAAATTATCCCTTATGTATGCATCTTAACTATTCAGGGTCAGTACCCTGTTTTCCTCCATCCTGAATCCCCTCAGGGTACACCATGGGGCTGTGGCTACAGTTGTTGATGGCTTGATGGCAGCAACAATTATTGTTAACTAAAGTAGCATGCAACATTGCTTTGTCTATGGATCCAAGAAGTAAACAGATGATCATATTTTAGGGTAAGGATCTGGTTAGTATCTTGAGTTTCTGGCAGGTATTCTGGATGACTTCATCAGGTCAAAAGATCAGATTCCACCCAGGCTGAGAAATGAATAAGTCACATGTCCTTAATGGCCTCTCAGCTCCATTTTCAAGAGCTCTCTTGGCAATACCAACTCCATTTTTATTTTCCTTCCACACTTCCATATTACAGCATGTGTCAATAGCCTGTTTCCTTTTGTTGCTGAATAGTAATCCATTGTGTGGATATGCCATATTTTATCAATGCACTCATCAGTTGATGGACAGTTGAGTACTTTCTTGTTTTTGGTCTACTATGAATAAAGTTGCTATCAGTTTGGTTCAGATTAGTCGTTCAGTTGTGTCCGACCCTTTGTAACCCCATGGAATATAGCATGCCAGGCTTCCCTGTCCATCACCAACTCCTGGAGCTTGCTCCAACTCATGCTATAAACATTTAAAGCTGCTGTAAACATTCCTATACAAGTCTTTGTGTGGTCATGTTTTCATTTCTCTTTTATATATACCTAGCAGTGGAAATTTCTAGGTCATATGGTAAGTTTAACCTCTTAAGAAACTTTCAAATTGTTTCCCAAAGTGGTTGCACCGTTTTACATTTCCCTCCCCTGCCCCTACACCATCCCTACTTCTGCCCTGAAATGTACCAGGGTTCATTTCTCTACATCCTCTCCAACACTTGTTGTTATCTGTCTTTCTTATTTTTTTAATTACCCATTCAGTGGGTATGAAGTTGTGTCTCATTGCAATTTTAATTTGTATTTCCTTAACGACTAATGAAATGGTTAGATAACATCACTGACTCAGTGTCCATGAATCTGAGCAAACTCCGGGAGATAGTTATGGACAGGGAAGCCTGGTGTGCTGCAGTCCACGGGGTTGCAAAGAGCTGAACACAATTTAGTGACTCAACAAATGACTAATGATGCTGAGAATTCTTGTTCATTTGCTGATTTGCCATTATATAGCTTCTTTTCAAGCTTCTTTTGCTTTCTGCCCCAGGGCTTTCTGAGCACAGAGAGTGTCCACTTGGCCTCCATACAAGCACAGCTAAAAGTCCAAGTGTGAGGACGGAGTGCAGTTACCGTCTCTTGGAGCAACTCTCAACTTCTGGGGATGGGAGCAGTGGGTGAATGCTGAACTCCTCTCCCCCCATTGTTCAATGGACTATTATGGGGAGGGCATTCTGTATAATTCTTAGAAGTGGAATGAAGCCCCCAATACCCACAGCAGTGACCTTGAAAATGCATCCATCCTTTTCGTCTTCCCTGCTTAACCCTCCCAAGTCCCAAGGTCTGCTCTCTGGGGTCACTTTCCAGGACCAAACCCTGGTCTCCAGCTCTGCTTCCAGGAGAGGGTGGAGAGGGAAGAAGCCAGGCTGGACACTTCTGCTCCAATGCCCAGTGATTCTGTATTTACTCTCTGTCCCTTTATGTTCCTCAGACCACCCCGACACGAGAGTCCTATACAACTACAGTTATTGGCAAAAATGGGAGGGAACAGACGCAAGAACTAGCAATCTTA